GTGAGCCCTGAGGGGTGTTGGAAGTGCAGCATAGCTGGGTAAATATCTAACATCTTGAGACGCTGAAAGATGCAGCCCGGGAGCTGTAACATGCAAGGAACCTCAATCAGCAAGTAACCTGTAACGAGTAAACCTATCAACTATTAACTATTGACTATTGACTATTGACTATTGACTATGAAAATATACGGAGCATCTAATCCAGAGATATCTGTAAAGAACTTCTCTCTAGACTGGAGACAAGGCCCCTCTTACACTTGCAGGACGAGGTATTACCATACCACCACACACATTTTCTTACTCTTACAGTCCATACCCCGGTGCTATATCTGCCTCATCCTATCATGTTCTTAGAAATCATTCTTTTCTTCTATTCCTGTCCCATCCAATCTCTTCAACTCCATTGCTCTACAATTCATCTACATACAGCGGCATCCACACCCATCTTCATCGGTGATCACAGGCCAGGTGCAAGACGACATGAGACAAGACAAGATATGTCAAGCCAGGTCAAGACCCTACCAAAGGGCAGAGAACAGGGTAGAGCGACGAAGATCGCACAGGGAAAGACAGTCGACGCATTCTCGTTCGTCCGTCCCATGTAGGCAGTTGAGTCGAGGTTACTAGGGGAGTAGGTATCCAGTGTGCCAGTTAGATGCCTCTACCTACCCAGCTAGATGGATGACCGGACATCATCCCATCAGCTTTGCACTCACCACCTCCATTGCCAGTACCAGTACCAGTACCACCCCCATCATCATTATCATCCACCGATCCAGCATGAATAACACCACCACCATCGCCATCGCCATCTTCAAATGCTACCCATCGGAGCTCAGCCTAGGCCAGACCCAGCACGCCTCATAGGTAAACCTTCGCAGCCACCCCTCCACCTGCCGGAACCACTCACGGGTACTCTACACAGAGTGGTAGTGGCATGAGCAGAGGGCATGAAGCCCGAGCATGGGCATGAGCATGAGCATGACTACCTGAACTCTTCGAGTAGGATAGGATAGACACCCAAGCAACACAGCTCCACCCTCTCCACTCGCATACACCAACACCCTACAGCCCAGCCAGCCAGCCAGTCAAGCAGGTAACCAGTTAACCAGCGCAGTAACCCAATAAACTAACCCTTCCCTAATCCATCCACGCCCATTCTCAGCATCCCATCGAATCGCGCAAGCCGCCGTCGCCGATAGATACCACCGTCCAGTGCCAGTAGTGTCCGCCATACATTGCTCGCTCCACTACTACTTAGTACTGATCCCTACGAATCGTGCAGGGCAGGGCAGTTGTCTATGAAAGTGCGTGCAGTGAGCGCGTGCGTGCAGGTGCGTGTGAAAATGCAGGAGGACGCCCGCACGCATGCACGCATGCACGCATGCATCTGCATGGTTTCGCATGATTTGTCGGGCTTCATGGCTTTCGTCGTAAAGAGACTATCCCCTCACTCTCCACCCCTCCTCTCTAGTCTGTCTCTCTTTCTTTTCTTCTTGTTCCTCCCATTCCCTGCCAGGCCAGGCGGTTAGGCGGCGTCCACGAGAGGATCGAAAAGAAGGATTGAGAAATGCTGGAGGCGACTGGGGTGGGACCTGATCACTCGGGAGCTAGGCCGAATGGAGACATGTTTTGAAACATCCGACCAATCATGTTCGCCTGTGGCCCCTCCCCTCCCTCCCCCTCCATCCCAAAACCCAAAGCTGCAGATGATCTAGAAAACCAGAATTCACGCAGAAACTAAGGAACGAAGAGACTAAGAAAGGGAAGATGGGAAGGTAACGGAAGCGATGGGAAGGGAGAGGGAAGGATTACACGGCATTCATTGTGTGCATTGTGTAAGGTACTCTCTGCACAAGACAGTTGATTCGGTTCGATCTGATTGATGCTTGGATGGGTTAACGGCATTTGATGATCCCCCATTCATCTTTCTTGACCGCTTGTACTTGGACTGACAGTGCCTATCCTATGGCACCTGACGACCCCTCCTGTGTATCGATATCCAATACCATATCTATTCTCTTAGATACCATGGGTTTTCAAAGAAACTATGATTTTGTCATGCAGCTGTCGTGAAATACCAATGTCTCTTCCTTCTTTCGATCCTCTTATGCCAGCCCTGAAGGATTATGCCTCGCTACATCCATCATCGTACAATTAGGAATAATGGATTGCACCGCCTCCTCTCTGCTTGACTCTTCCTTCAACCATGCATCTACCTTGCTAGGTAGGTAACATATTGCAAATACACAAAATTCACGCATACATCTTCCTCACATGACATACCTCTTGTCCCTTTACCCTCTTGGGCTGCCGGCGCCGTCAGTCTCTCCACCTACACATCGTGACATCCATCTCCACATCTCTCACCAGATCCCACCCTCCTAATTCATGCCCTACTCTCCCAAGGGGAAAAGAGAATCCCCATCAATCTAACCCATTATCAGACTATACTAATCTGTTCTCCTCGTACCCACTCATTCCTCCGTCTACCCAAGACACGCCGCGTGTGTGTACCATGTATGCTATACTTCACCATGATATACTATAATGTGCTATACCGCACTACACAGTCGTGACAGTCCGCTACACTACGCTACGCAACACTATACCACGGGCATGGAGACAGATCTATTCCATCACCCAATGGCCCTCCATCCATACCATTCCCCACAGCCAGGCAAAGTAACAAAGTACCCATTGTTGTTCTCTTATCACAAGTAGTACGTCCGGATCGATGGATTGGGTATAAAGCCGTAGAGGATAGTATCGTTGCTTGGAGTCATCTTAGATCAGATATGGAAATGGTGATGGGAAATCAGTTACGGTGTGATATGCTGCGCTACGCTATGATAGAGACATGTACCCTATTCAAATCCCAATCCCTATCGGGAAAAGGTAGTATACTACCAGGCAAGACAAGACAGAACAGAGTAACGAAATAACCCAATGGACCATTGAGTAAATGAGGCTTCGAGAAAGGTGCTCCCTGACAACGGCTATCTAGTGATAGTCCCTTCGTCAATGTTCAACTTAGCATGTTGAAGAATTGCCAATGGATTGATACCCGATTCCCTCTTGGAGCGAATATAACCACCAGTATCTGTACATTTACTTCTATGAATCATCGATGGCAAGAATAACTGTGTATATGTCTACGTCTATCTCATTACTATCACCATCACTACTGTTAGTGCTATCAATCCCCATCCTTGCACGGCAAATAGTTAGTACATATCAAAACACACAAAATTACCACAACGCCCTATTTCCCAAAACCCGAATTATCCACCATCATACAATATTCAGGCCCATCCCCTTGCCCTCTATCCTAGCCATCTCCCACAAGTCTCTACAGCAAGCAGGGCAAAGCAGGGCAAACCCACTCATACAGCGTGCTCACGAGCGCGCTTGTTAGCACTTTTTGCGGGGGGGGGACGGGCGCAATCATTGGCCGCCTCGCCCTTTCGCGATCGAATAGCTAGAATGATTTCGTAGCTAATAAATTGGGCGAAGCAGGGAGGAAGTTGTTGGTATTCTAGTCTTTCTTAGTGTTTGAGTCGTACAATAATGTCTGTCGTCGGATGGGAATAATTGATTGAGTGTGTGTAGTGTCTGTTGTCGTAGACTGCCTAAATGACTGACAGGCGCTATCGCCATGGCCGCCGCTGTCGCTGTCACTGTCACTGCTGCTGCCCAAGCGCCCCAGCCCCAGCCCTAGCCCTAGACCTACCACCACCACCACCAACGCACGCCAGGCTAGAATGCCGTCGGAGGGGGAAACAAGAGGGCAGTGTGATACGTGTATACGTGTGTGTGCTTGATTTGAGCGACTAATGATATGACTACGTCTAAGTGATTACTGCCAACAGAGATTGGGAGGGGTTTGTTGGTTTGCCTTGTAGGGCGAAGAGGGATGGGAGGGTTGGGGCTCTGATCGATCGATCGTCGTTCCGATCTTGTAACTATTGTGATAACTGTCGGTGATCGACATTTGCGTTGGCTGTATGGCTCTGGATTGTGTTCTATTTTATGGGTTTTGAGGTGGATGGGATAGATGGAGGCAAGGGAAGTTGTTGTGAAGGGAATTGATGTTATTTTCCATGTACGTGCGTATGTGGGTGTTGATAAGTTGATTGCTATAGAAAGAGAGGGGCAATGCTTAGTTGGCACATTGTTTACCCCTCAGTTTTGCTTTGATGCATTCACAGCAATTACATCCATGCATAGATACTATGACGGTGATAGATATTCAAAGGACATTACGGATTGACGTATTTTTGCTTCCATTTTGAGGCAGAGTTTGCGAGTCAATTCGGGTCAAGGCCTACAACTGGTTCAATGCGAACATCTACGTAGATACGTAGATCCGTGTTACGCATGAACTACATCCACAGCGGATGTATGCATCACATTTTCCATCATCCTGCATAGCCGGTTCTTCAACATTGTATGGCGAGCCCTACAACTACTATTGTACTGCAAGGACGTACGTATCTTCTACCACACAGGAAGATCCACGTCCACAACAATCGGTTTGTTGAACGTCTTCGGCACATCGCGTCGACGAGGGCCCATGTATGCAGCATTGATAATGACGGTTTCCCGCCGGGCAGCCATCCACTCAAGTCCATCCACGTCAAGCGTTGCAGCAACTCCGACATCATTATCTGCCATCGTCGTCGCAGCCGCCGTCGTCAAAGCAGCATCATCATTTACTGAAATTGCGCCTCCCAACATGTCCACAAACAATGCCTCTTTGTTTGAGGAGACGCCCCCAGGAGGACACAGATGAGTATGTGAGGTTGAATCGACTGCACCACCCACCAACCTACCGCCTCCACCACCAGTCTCACCGGCCTGGCCCCCATTCCCGCCCGCCGCAAGGCCATCGACCTTCGCCTGCCCTGCAAGACATCCAACATTGTCCAGTACGCGCCCACCTCTGCTTGAACAATTGACCAGTGACTGCTTATTGCTCCCAACGCCTGGGTCCCTCCAGCTCTCGACAGCCTCCACGAGGCAGCCGTTGCAGTCGCCCGGCGTGCAGCAGGTACGCGACCCCCACCGGACGCGCTCGACACCTCTTCCCCCATGGATGTGTCCGCACACAGACATCATTGGTCGCACCCGGTGCAGCGCCTGGGTGAGAGCCGCACAGCCTGACCGGTCGTCCTCCTCAGCCTTATCAACATGGCCTTTTGGCGGGGTATGCGTGATCACGATGTCTGTGTCCAAGGGAATTGCGTCCCATATCTTCGGTGCATCCTCAGCTGCATATTGGAATGCCCAATGGTTCTTCATCTTTGGCGTGCAGGGGCTTCCGAACACCTTGAAGCAGGTTCTTGGGCCTTGCGGGGAACGCAGATGAACTGTTGCAGCCTGGTTCTCAAGATAGGTGATCGATGATGAGCCAGTGAGGAGCTTGCGGCATTCGTGAGGGTCTTGTGGTGCAGGCCATCGCCATAGCGTGCCGTGCTGCGCGAACAGGCTGGGGTCGAGTGTGATATCGTGGTTTCCTAACGTCCGGTGAGTACTCCATGCGAATGTGAAAGATCGGTGGGCATTTCCTACCTGCAATCACGATCTTCGCTTCGAAGTCGGTCTTCTCGATCCAATTGATCGTCTTCTTCAGTTCGGAGTAGCTTCCCTGGTTCGTCAAGTCGCCAGCGTGGATGAGCACATCACCCTTGGGAAGCTTGGGTGTTTGGTTGTGGGTGTCGGAGATGCAGACAATTCGGGTCTTCCGCGTCTGCGGGACAGCTTGGGAGTCTTCCGCCATGGTGAAACCATTTTTTAATGGGATTCACGGCCGGTGAATGGAATTTGCTTGTCGAGAGAATGTGAGTCAACATTGGTGATCCACAAAACAAATCATGGAACGAACGTCAAGTATCAACACGCGCTAGTCCCAAACAACACCTACAGCTACTATCGATAAACTTCTCATCGCGGAGCGACATCGTTCAACCACTCGATGCTGTTTCGTCACCACAGTCGGTTTCGTCTCGTATCTTTGGACAATATGCCCCTTCAAAGATATGCGCCTCACGTAATCTTCCATTCCGGCATCCATACCCCTTGACTCTTCTACGCCTTCTGCGCCTTCTCCTGCATCTCGAAACCTGAACAACCCCCGCCACACTTCTCTCAGCCTACCAGGTCCTCGCTGAAATGCAACCCCCATAAGCAAACAGAACGGAGACCCCGCCCAACCAGAAATCCGAGACTTGTATCGAGATAGAGTAAGTCCGCGAGATCTACCTCGTTCGGACACACGTAAGCAGAACCAGATCTCCAGTCACGCGAGGCAGGCCTATCAGACCGCCCGTTCAGCCCTTCAGCCTCATCAGCTGTGTGGAGAAGAAGGTATTACAAGCTGTGGCGAAGGTTAATGTCGTTGTCTCACCGCAAGGCAAGCTGAAGAGAGGACACTTCGACAATTCATGCCGAACTTCTCGCGCCATCGCCACAAGTAGAGAAATGTCTGATGAACCGTACGAGTTGTACAGTAGATACATATTTCCTAATTGGGCTCAAAATCTTAAATTTCCACCCTCAACCTCAATTGCCTCGCATCTTTACTCACAACTCTAGTCATCTACTTGTCCGACATAATCTATCTCGCCTCATTGCCCAAAGTCCCATTTTCCTAAACCCTTCGCCTACAATTTCCACAATCCATACTAGCTCCTTCAAAAGATAGTCCCTCTTGTCTGACTTTCCCCCTAGCGACGACCACCAGGCAGCAGCATAACGACCTTACACTTACCCACCTGCCGGTATTCCCCACAACCCTAGTCGATTACATTTCGTCTCTTTCCTCCATTAGTCTCAAATCCTCAAATTCAAATCCCTCCAATCGCATTTCCTGCTCCCTTCCCTTCGCCCTCAAATGTGCCATGGGACTGTCTCTCCCGCCTGCCCCTTCAAGCTAGCTACATGACATGAACATGGCACGAAATACGAATAGCACGTACGATACGTGCTGATACTCGGGGTACAGTATCACATGCATAGGCGTAGAAATAGTTCGACGGGTCAAGTATGCGGTGTTTTGAACGAGGGGTGGGTGGGGGAAAGTGTATCTGGTGGGTCTTCGTCCGATATGCTAGCGGTGGTTGGGAACTGCGTTTGCGTTTGGGGACTGGGGAGAGGAGCGGTGTGATATGATGGCCAAAGGGTACAGAAGCGTTTGGAAGGATGTGGTACAGTGGGTAGGGAAGCGATTCGTAGTGGAGGGATAGAGTCCTGAGGCATCTATCGTGAAGTTCCTGAGGCATACTTTGAGATATGAATGTCTGTAGCAAGAACACGTTAGTTGAATCATCACTGTTCTCGGGTAAGTCTTTAATCTACTGTTTCTTGGTCCGAGTTCAAGATTATATGTTGTGAAAATTTCCTTTTGTATTAGATGTGTGTCTATCAGACTGTGGACGAAGGAGTCTTCCATAACACCATAATTGTCAATTTTGTAATTTCCATAGTCCAGCCATATTTGACTATCTCTGTAGTCTCTGCAGAGAAAGGTCTATGTTTATATAGGCCGCATCAAGCATCGATGATAGCTTTAAAAACCGGCTGGTAAGTTCATGACGATTCTTCCTCTCATGTCAAACTCGGATCTACTGCTATGAGTAGTATCAGATCTCGATACAATTGTGTAGACTCTTAAAGAGATACCAACCTTTTTTTTTTCTGTCTTTCTTTAATCTGGTAGTTACTGCATTGAACTCAAGGATTTAATATGCCCGATTCTAGTTCGTGTTGAGAGAATCAAATGATCAAGGCACTCATGGAACGAATTAAGCAAGGTACCAAAAAGACATCTTGTTCGCTATAACAAATTCAATCTAGATTATAAGTCAATTGACGTAGAAGATGCACTTTCGCCCTTCCGACCAATGACCTTTCGTGTATATTGGGTGTCGTAGTAGATAAGATAAGATCAGATCGGCTTGGCAAGCCAGACCACCAAAGCTAAGCAACCTCACCCCGACTCTTTGCCGGCAGCCAAACGCATCACCGACCACTACTACACCCCACACACACACCTTACCGCGACAATGGCTTCTGGATTCGGTCTCGCTGGCGGTAAGTCTATTAAAAATGCATTTGCGACGGGATTTTCGGGCTACGGCGGGGGATTGAAGGCGCAACGGGAAGATTGTGAAACGAGTGACGATGGAACGAGAATCGAATTGCGAACGACGGACGGACGACACGAGGCTCAATGCTCTCTCAAATGGAGGAAAACGACATGGATACGCTCCAATCGCATCGACTGTACCACGCCTATATGTTCACGGCCTCACGCCGTCCTCCATCGACATTACAACTTCCGCCCTCAGCGTCCTCTCGATCCACCATTGTCGAAACTCTCAAACTCTCCCGGTCGCCCTCAGAATCCCCCGCGATCCCGATATCTCAAACGCAAACGATTTGAAATCTCTTCACCTCTCAGAGAAATCCCACATATCATACAAAGCCACATGCTAATGCTAACTGATCAGGCCCCTCCCGCTGCTTCCCCTTCTGGCAGGAAGTCCTAGCCTGCTACGTTACCAACACCAACCCAGAGGACGACTCCGGAAAAGCGAAATGCGCACCCTACCTTGAGGATTACTACGAGTGTCTTCACCACAAGAAGGAGGTAAGGCACACACTTCCCCATCTGATCCCAAGACCGAACCCAACACCTCGCGAAACGAAAAACGAGAGAAAGAAACCGAATAATGCTAACATAGAATTACACCAGGCCGCCAGAACCCTAGCCCTCCAAGCAGCATACAGGAAGCAACAGGCCAACATCAAGCGGGACGACGCACCTTCGGCGGGTGAGATCCGCAGGCTGGGCGTCCTCGACGCGCCGCTCGAGGAGAAGAACCTCAAGCCCAGCAAGTGGTTCCCGCACAAGGAGATAAATTAGAGAGAGAATCACAAAAATGATGTTTTAAATCCAGAGGGTGGAGGGAGGGTGGGAAAACCCAGCGCGTGGCGGCTTCCCTCCCTCTTTCTCCGCCATTTCCCCTTTTACATGCGTGCTTGATTTGCGAACCATTTTCTCTCTCATTTCCTTCTTGGGGAATAACGTGGTGGTGGTTGATCGGCTGAACGGGGTAGCAGCATGTTGACGGATGGCAGAACACTGCTTGCTCCCATGACTGCAATCGATGGTGGTGGTAGAGTACAAGGGAAGACGGCAGCGGAGGTCTCAAGACGACGGCTGGACTGACGCAAGCCAAAGTATATAACTCTCGAAACGAACTCTCAAAATCCACCATGTGTCATATTATGTCATGTAATGTTCACTGCACGGAATCGAATCTCTATATATAATCCCCATGAACCCCCAAATCCCATATACACCACACCACACCCACCCTCTCTCTCCTACAACGAATATGCAGAAAGCATGCCATCGTCGCAAAAACATGTGATATGGCCACCACTCGGCTAAATGAAACAATTTCTTCCCTCTTTCCTCTTTCTTCTCTCGAGCCCTTTCTCACCCATCCCTCAACGCCCAAAATCGAGCATTCATTTCAGACTCTCCCGTACTTTCACATAAAATCCCCATTCACGCACACCAACGCCATCCAAGCCCAGTTTTCTCTCACGAAGAAAAAAAGCAGAGACAAAGACTTGAAACACACCCGACGAAATTCCAATCTCCACACCAGCCAGTCCTTTATCAGACAAGAACCCCGTAGTGTCCTGTCTCTGTCGTGCTTGTGCTGCCGCGGATTAACCCCTCATCTTCCGTGCGAACCACGGACAGAGCGGCAGATTTCACAGTTCAAAATATCTACCGTAAGAGGCCTCCGAGGTTGATTGGATATAGTTTCTCCCTTTTGAGGGGAGAAGGGGAGTAAGGGAGAGATATGAAGAAGTGGGGAGAAAGTAAGTACATCTGTCAGTGTGAGAGAAAAGGTATGAGTCGAAGAGTGGAGAGAACATGAGTCCCTTTTTCATCATCCATCAGATCCATAGTTCGTGAGTGGTATATTAGTAGACTTCAGAACAGAGACGGTTTCCTTCCGACAAAGAGATAAGAAGGGGGGGGGGTCTTCGTGTGTCACTTCTATTTAAGTATGAAAAGTCTCATGGGATCACGCACTAATGGAATCAAATCACATATTTGCACAGGAGGTTGATGTTTCATGTTTCATACTTTTTCAAATTGGATTGACTACCTGAGACCCGACTGTCATTTGCTGAGACATGAACGTGTTCGCCCAGCAACGAGTGGCTGGACGGCCGTCGGATACGGATTGTGAAAGATGAAAACGCCGGTTCAGCCCCATATTCCTTGGACGTGCTGTACCATTGCGAAACTAAAGAAGAAAAACATCATGCATAATACAAGCAAACTGACCTCTTGCATTGTCAGGCATTCAGATCATTCGACACGAATGAAGAACACGTGCGCCGGTCGAATTGGAGATATGGAAAGGAAAGTTCTTTGAAATCATAGCATCATAACAGAACCGAAGTAAAACAAGACATGACCCAGCGCTCCTCGAGAGGCAGCTAAACCCCAACCATAGTTGTAGAACGCCATATCTGTGAGAGGTGAACTAGCCATAGAGTGAGCCTTCTTGTTAATGGTGCATCGTAAGATATAAAGGGTCCTAGACAAAACAAGCTGTGAAGAAGTGTATGATGTAGTGAATGACGACACAGGCCAACGCTGATAGAGTCTGTAGAATATGAAGACATATCATACGCATAGGTTCATAACGGCCTGACCCTCTACAATCCATGCAACATGGGCGCCGAGTGTGCACGATTTTCGAAAGGTCGAGGTGACGAAAGCCATCGCCAGGGCACAAGATGATTCTTTTGAAGTGACAATCTTACATGGAGCTCACATGTTGGTGCTCACACTTCGTCTGGCATCTTGTGATTGCGGGCCCATGGCACCATGAGCTTGCATGTTTCGATGGAACGAACCGATCTTTTGGAATCCCCTACATCAAAGGTCAGCAGGTGATGGATTAATACGATTCAGCATCCTGTACTCACTTGGCTAGATCAAAACCACCCTCCTCATCCACCTCCTCGAACGATCCCAGGCTAGCACCCCGGACCATGCCACCAGCCATAGCGGAAGGAGCGAGGCTGTTGACATTGCTGTTTGAACGGGAGTGATGAGGAGCGGGCAGGTGAGCACGGCTGACTGGACGAGAAAGTGTCCGGGTCGGGCTCTCTGGTGCAAGGTCCTCATCTTTATCATTGTCGTTGTCGTTCTCATCATCATTGTCATTGCCATTTTCATTCTCCTCCTGGTCGCCTCCCTCTCGGCTATTAGCTTCATCCGGTAGCACCGGAGGTGAACTGGGTTGCACGGGCTCGTCTTCACCATGTTCACTGTCATCTTCCTTTTTCATTTTCGTAGGGCTGAGATCGAGAGGAGGAGCCTTTGCAGGCGTGCTCTCAATATCGAAATACTTCCAGAAAGGGGCAGGACTGCTAAGCTGCAGGTACTGACTGGGCACGTGAACGGTCGAAGGGGGTGCCAAGCGGGGTGCATGCCTTGCGACCAAAGGGGTAATGAGACCGCCCATTCCGCCATTTGCGTTGATGGCCGTGCTATCCGAGTAAAGGGTAGGCGGAGAATGCGCGGAACGATCGCGTAGACCGCTGACACTGTGCTTTGAGGGGTCCACATTGGGTGAAGATGGAGCCTGTCCATGTTCGCGGTCAGACATCTGATGGTACGAGGCACCAGGGCCGTGGGCATCCTGGAAGAGCCTCTTTGCTGGTGTAGCGAATTTGGGTGCGTCATGATGTGTTGGCGATTGCTTGAGGCCACCGAAAGGGTTCTGAGGGCGTGGGCCACGGTCGGGAGTGTAAGATTCGTTCGCCATAGGGTAGGATGTCAACGGAGGTGTCGTGGAGCGCGCTTGGGTCTTCACCCTCGGAGGTCGAGGATCTTGCCTCCCGAAGATGTCAGAGTGAGTTTGACCTAGCACACCAACAAGTCGTTCCGTTGCTTGTGATGGTGGGTCGCGCATCGCAGGAGAATTCGGGCCGGAAGAGTCGAGTCGAACGGGGCCACCACCCTTCCGTGGATGGAAGATTTGTTTCTTGAGAAAATCTTCCCGTTCGGAATCCACGATTTTCCACTTCATACCCTTGCCTGGCTCATCTGTTCGGCGAGCTACCTTTTCGAAAGATTTGCTGAGGGACAGATTGTGCCGGATGGAATTCTAAAATGTGTTAATCGTTGCGGCGCAAGGGGGGAATTAGGCGAATGCAACTTACCTGCCAACCACCATTGGTGAACCGGAAGAATGCGTAGCGGTCCTTGATGTGCTGGTAGATGTTTGCCAGCGTGAGCATTTCTTCTGGACTACTCAGAATGGCCTGGCCGATCAATTGAGCGTAGCTGTGTGGCGGCTTGATATCACGGGCGCTGTCAGCACTGTAATCGATGTCATCGATACCATCCAACATCATCCCACGTTGATAGAAGGGCGAACCCTTGCTCCGTGGGTCCTTCTCAGACGAACGTATCGCGAGAGGAGTGTCGGGTTGGGTGCGACCTGGGGTAGATGTCAATAAGCTGCTGTCGAACCCCTTTGCTGTCTGCCTATTTCGCGGGTGGGAGAGCGGCGGGAAAGGATCATAGTTCTCACGCTTGGGAGTAGGCCCGCCCTGATGAGCGTGGGGCAGAGAACGAGATGGCGGGTGGCCTTCCTTCTCGGACTCAGCGTCCATGTCAGGGCCGCTCTTGACCTGACGCCATAGCATAGGATGGAACCGATCCTCTTGGTTGGCTAGGAGGAACAGCATCTGCGTGCCAAGGAGCCCGATGCAGATACCCGAGTGCAGCATGGCGCGAGTTCCCTTTTCGATGCTTCTGTCGTCCAACTTGAGCCCATTGCGGCTATTAACTGTAATGAACCACTGTTGTTCCGTGCTGTCGAAGTCGATCTGCGCATGTACACGAGAGACCTGTCGATTTGGGCCAAGGTCGATATCTACCCCCCACTGGGCAACCGGATCGTCTGCTTCGTCCTGGCCGGGATCCTGCGAGCTGGTGGGCGGATTCGGTCGCAAACGAGCGTCTGCTCGACCAATCAGGAGGACCGTCTTCTGTACGAAGAAACACCAGTCGCGGGCTGCGATCTTAGCAAAGGCAGCTATGTTTCGTCCTTCATTCCTCCTGGCCTGTAGATCATTCGCGTAGTCGACGGCGGCATTGGGGGTGTAGTCGCGGGGTGTGCGCAAGGAGGCGATGATCATGTTTTGCCTCTCGATTGGATCGGATGGGAACTCTTCCTCTTGGCCGTTCGGGAGGGTCGCGTTCGAGTCCTGGCTGGCGACAGACTCGGTGATTCGTGTTCTTGGGAGGTCTTCGACACCAGCGGGGGCGGCGGCGCGGTCGGAGCCATTCAACTGCAGGGAGAGGGAGGTTAGCATTAACCTCTATAGAGGGTGGAGGTAGAGGGCTACTACTTACCCGTCTGCGTTTCCTGGAAGGAGTGGTTATGGAATCTGGGGTATCGGCGTCTGACTGCTGGTGAGGCTCAGGCAGCTGGCGAGTGCGCAAGCCCGACCTCCTGGTCGATGAGGGCGGCATGATGCCGTGTATGTGTATGTGCGTTCGTAGATGTGTGCGTAGCGGGTGTGCGTGTGTCTGGTGAATCCCAAGCGGGGACGGTTAGAAGGAATGGATAGAAGATGAAAGTGAAGAGAAGTAAGGTGAAGTGAATGGAGTGGAGTGGCGTCGACAAGATGGTTGGTGGTGGATGAGAGAGTTGTTTGGGTGTGGGCGGATACGGGTTGCAGGGTTGGGTAGGTGGGTGTTGGTGTTTGTGTGTACGTGTGTATGTGTATGGGGTTGATGATGTTGATTATGATGATGATGTACGGTGATGTAGGGTATGTGATGACGGAAGGCGGGTTCCTCTACAAAGGGAACGTCGCCCCACCGAAGGGTCGAGGAGCGCGCTCACCACAGCCAAAATCCTGCCACTTCCTCCCCTCCAGAATGTGGGTTAGGCGTCACTTGCGCGATCGGGAGCGACGGTCGAGATTGCGATTACTTGGGAGGAGCGACCCAGGACGCGCGCGCAGGGAGTTTGAGAGTGTGGTCGTAGGTTGGAAGATTCGGCTGGTGTGCGCGGTGTGGAACGATGAGGATGTGGGATGTATGTAGGTACGGTACGGAGTAGGTAGAAGATGGAATCGACCGTGTTTTTCGCTAGGATTATTGTTTGTTGTTGATTTCTCTTCACGGGACGCGAAAAGAGGAGTTGGAGGAGGCGACGGCGGCGAAACGGCGGCGGCGAGTTATTGGGTAGCGTGGAACTTGGGGAGAGGGAGGACGCGAAGAGAGAGTGTGTTTGTGTGTGTTGGGTGAGTGTCGAGTGTTGTCGAGTGTCAAGTGAGGAGGATGGATGTGCGCAGGGGTGTGTGTGTGAATGGGAAAGTTAACGGGTGGTTTATAGTGAGTGAGAGAGGAAGAGAGGAAGTGAACATGAACAGTCAATTAATGATTAATCATTTGGTTGAACTGCAAATGGACAACTTTCACTGCGACAAGTGAAAACAAGTGACAAGTGACTGGCAATAATGATAATCCATCCATCCACTCAAGTCAATATTTGGGTCGAGGGAAGGAAGGAACGAACAATTATTGTGCAACTGCCTAATCCGCAAAAGACGCGCGGGTCTCGTGACTCCCTCTCTTCGTCCTCAACCTCATCCGCCACCCAGAGAACTCACGATCCGTGACTCGTAATTGGAACAATAATTACGCTTCCACCACAATCATTCAAATCAATAACAAAAACATCTATCAACCCAAATACTAGTTGACTGATTACGGAGTGCTGCTCTCCCAATTCATCAATACTCCCATGTTCCTACTCAAGCAGGTAGACCGACAAGCCACAGGTTCATTGTACTGACTACACTATTCTCACCCAACGATACCAGCCAGTCCACCTGCTACCATTGGATGCACGCAGTCCAGACCAACCGTGATAGCGCAGTTGCAATGTTGCCAAACAAACGCAGACTCACACTTACGTATCTGACCCTGGCCGAATCCAAACGTCTCACTTGCACTTTCTGTTTGCAAGCAGGATTTCCCATCCAAATAAGCGAACGGGATGATGAACAGACGGAACGAACGAACAAGGCCGTGCGGGCGAGACCACAACAGAGTAGAAAAATACTATTAGTAAATACAAGAGACGGGACGAGAAGAGAAGCAGAAAAAAAAGGCCGAACGACGCGCTTAGTTCGCTCCACCTGATATCGTCATCGAGCATGAGAAAAAAATACGCGAACGGTGTGCGCTTTTCCCCTTCCCTCGCGTACCCCAACCACCGTTTCCCGTTCCCATCAACTCAGCACACAGATGCAGTAAAGATGGACAACAACCCCCGGGCTTTGGGTATTTGTTGTTTTGTTGATTCGTCGCTGACCCTCGACTTACCCCAACTAACTAACTTCATGCAAGTCACCGTCCGGTGGGAGTTCGCAGAAATAGATGGTTTGTAAATAGGCATACACAGTGCATACGAGATATCGTTATCCGTGTGTTATCGCACTAATGATGCGCCTATCGATATCGATAAACAAGGCAGGCGCAGGTTGGTCGGTCCTTCCCTCTGGTTGTGACTTGTGACCGTTGACTTGGCCGTTGAGATCCGGCCAGTACCGGCAGGCATGTCATCATTCATCAGTGATCACCTACCAAGCAATTTTACCCGCTTCTCGCTTGTTCTTGCAGACATTACTCGACTCCAGATATTCATTTCCTCTCGCTCACCATCACCACCGCCATACGTTGTCGACTTTTGATCTACCTTATTCACTGATACATATTAAGATACACCTCATGATTCACAATCAGTATAGATAGTCCTCACCAATTGAGAAAGATTCATCATCATTTGATTGGCTTCAACCCTACATTCCTCTCATCCATGACTGTCCCCCTGTCCCTCCTTTTGATATCGTGAGTCGAACCATGCACATGTCCCTGATTCGCCCTGCCATTCATTATACCCAAAAAACCGTAAAAGAAGGAACCAAATCATGACTCGCTTTCGCTCTGACATCGTAACATCGTTGTCAGGGATGTGAATCCAAAAATGATCCCCCCGAAGAATCGAAGAGAGGAAAGAATGATTAAAATAATACCCCCATTCACCACCACCATCACGTAGTGATACCATTAAGATCGTGAAATAAGACTCTCAAAAAAGGACCTCAATTACCACCGGTCGCATATCCAGAAAGATCCAACTCCCCGGTCAACGGCAAACTCCTCGAGCTGCCCCCAACGAAAACCGTCTTCTTATCCTCCGTGATGACCCAATTCTGCGACGCGGTATCCCAACTCGACACATCCCTCCTCGTGACGTCCGCGTTAAACGTCGCCGACTGCCCGGGTGCAACGCTCAACCTCTCGAAGTTCCGCAGCACGACCTTCGGCTCGTTGGGACCAAGGTTGACGTATAGCTGCACGACTTCCTCGCCGGGCACCTCGCCTGTGTTTGTGATGGTCGCCGTGACGTGGAAGAGGACGTCCCAGAGCTGGGGGTTGCCGCCGGGGGCGCCGCCGGCCGGGATGCGGGACTGTGGTGAGCCGTCTTGGGCGCCCGCGGGCAGCTCGACCTCGATGCCGTATTCGGGGTCCTGTGACGCCTCGCGGAGGTCGGTCGAGTTGAGGTAGGGGTAGATGTACTTGTCGACGTAGGTTAGGTTGGCGGGCCATTGGTACTCGCTGGCGTCGGTGCTGAAGTTGCCCAGGACAGGGGCTGCTTTCGTTTGTCCGGCTGTTGGGGTGTAGGGGCCTGCGGGGATCTTCTGGATGTTGAGGTCGGAGTACTCGAAGGTGGTGTAGCTGAGGCCGAAGCCGAATTCGTAGGTCGGGGTGATGTTCTTCTTGTCGAAGATGCGGTAGTCGATGAAGACGCCCTCGTTGAAGTTGTCCTGCGGGGAGGACGAGTTGTTGGTGGGCTCGTAAATGAGGTCCGGGCCGTAGTCGGATTCTTGCGCGCCCCAGGTGAAGGGTGTCTTGCCGCCTGGGTTCACGCGTCCGTAGAGCACGTCGGCGATCGAGTTGCCGGATTGCTCGCCGGGGAGGCCGGCCCTGTGTGTTCGTGTTAGCTTGTATCGAGCATATGTGGTGTTGAACATGCAAAATTGTTAGGGTAAGGTAAGAGGAGTGGTTTACGTACCAGACGATAGCTGTGATGTTGGGGTTGTTCTTGTATTCCTCGATGATGACGGGACCGACCGAGTGAATCACAAGGACAGTGTTGTTGCACGACGCAGAAACGTTCCTGATCAACTTGTCACCATCCTGCCAGAACGTGAGGTTGTTCCTGTCGCCCATGTTGCCATCCACGGTGATGTATCCCTCGCCCGAATCGGCATTGACGAAGACGAGAGAGACAGATGCCTGCTTCGCGAGCGCGTCGATCTGGTTGTAGGCCCAATTGTCCACGACAGACTGGATGACGCCACCGTTCGCGAGGACTTCAGACTTGATGGCCTCGAGAGGCGTCACGAGGAAGGGGTAGAATGCGGTTCCTGAGCCCCAGCCCATTGCCAGCGTGCCGTTATCACAGCCGTGGTCGGGACATCCATTGGGGCCGTACGGGTTCTCGGTCGAGTCGTCGCCAAACACCGCGGTGAACTTCTCCTTGCCGGAGAGTGGCAGGACGCCGCCCTCGTTCTTGAGGAGAACGGTGGAGCGCGCGGCGGACAGGCGGATCGCTTGCGTGTGGCCGTCGCGTACGTCCACGTGCTGGTTGATCAGACCGTATCCCTCTTTGGCGAAGAAGTGCTGGAAGCCGTAGGTGTCAAGCGCCCAGCTGTTGAAGTTGGTGGGTTTGGCGACCTTGTCGCGGCCGACGTAGTAGTATGCTGCCATGATGCGAGTCGCGGCATCGTCGAGGCGCCATTGCGGGAGTGTGCCGTTCAGCACAGAGATGGTGAGGTTAGTGCCCCAGAATGAGGCGCCGCTGTCGAAGTCGGTATCACCGGGCATCGTCATGTCCAGACCTGCGAATGTGCTCGCAACACCGGAGTGCTGTGCATCCCAATCCGACATGATGAATCCCTGGAAGCCCAGTTCGCCCTTAAGGATGTAGTTTTGGAGATACGAGTTTTGGCAGCCCTGCGAGTTGTTGATCTTGTTGTAGGAGCACATGATCGAGCCCGTGCCGGCGCGTACGGCGTCGGCGAAAGGCCAGAGGTACAACTCGTGCAGAGTCTTATCGTCGAGGTTCGAGCTGATGGCATCCACGAATCCTTTGTCTTCGAAATTTCCTGGTGAGCGGAAGTGCTCCTGTTCGTTCATGATGTAATGCTTCGTGCAAGCAATGACACCGGCATCTTGGATGCCTCGAACGGTCTCGGCAACAGCAATGCCAGAGAGAACGGGGTCGGGACTGAAGCCTTCCCAGTTGCGACCGCCCTTGGGGTTGCGGCCTAGGGGACCGACGACGGGACCGAGCTGTACGTCAACTCCCTTGTCGCGGTGTTCTGAACCCATTTGGTAGCCGCGGCGATACCACTCAGCGCGATCCCAGGCAGCAGCAATGGTTCCTCCGGAGGGGAAAGCGGAAACATAGTCGGCGAATCGAATACCAAGTGGGGAGTCTTGCATGCAGAGAGAAGGAAATCCTAGGCGCGGAATCTCTCCCACGTTACCGACACTGGAAATGTGAGTTGATGGCGTAGTATAGAGACAACCAATGCATACCATGCTTCTCCCTGCCAGCCTACACCTGTGGTGAGGTTGACTTTCTCGAGCAGAGTCAGCTGTGAGACAAATGCCTGAGCCTTTGTGTATGCCTCTGCCCAGTCGCCTGAGCCGTCGAGCCAACTATCCCACAATTAGCACGAATGATCGGGCCTGCATGTATAGTTCTGATTTATTTCTGATGGTACATACGGGCTTGGATAAAATGGGGGGCTATATGCATCGTTAAGTTCGTTGGTGGTGCCGTTTGTGTTGGGAATGGTGGTGTTCTCGGTCTTGTTTACTCGTCAGCACAACAATAAACAATCAACTTGAGCTAGGAATTGTACTTGACGTAAGAAAGGAAACACCGAGAGAGCAAAATTTAAAAGACCTTGCACCATCGCGACAGCTCCTCAACGGGGGTTTATCTCCTTTCGAGTGCAGTCTGTGGAGGTACTCGTGGTTGTGGTGGAGAGAAGGGTTGAAATGGTTGAACCTACAGGAACGGTGGTTTGGGCCTCCGCAAGGCCGACGGCCAGAAATGCTTGAACAAGCCACAACATGACGTCTCGCCTGTGCGCACCAGAGACTACGATATGGCAAAGAGAGTGCCGCAATGGATACTGGGTCACCCAATTAAATTAAGATTACTATATGCCACTTGTTGTTTGTGACTGTGTCGTATCAAGGGGAGGCAGAGAGTATGTGAGGTGTACTGTGTACTCGCTCGCTTGCTCGCTCAGGGCCAACAACACAGGCAAAGGCAAGGGGAAAAGACGAGCTTTTTATTCCCTCTGATCGTCTGATGGGGATTTGACCTGACTGATCTGATGAGCTGGGGGTGGAGCTATGGCAGGGATTCAGGGGATGCCCCGTCTGCTAAGCTCTGCGCCGAGCATTGCCTCTCCCGTCGGGGGCGGAGGGACGACATGGACAGACGTGGAGACATGCGTAGAGCAGGTGGTCAGTGCCTGCTGATCACTCCATACGTATTCGCCGCCCCTAAGCCCGTCGTCCATTTTCGGCCCATCATCCTCGTCCTTCTGTCAAATTACTTGTATTGATCAATAATGTGCGTGTCTGCTCAAATAGAACCCGATTTCCAAGTGGTGGTGGCGGCGTGATCTCCGGTCCGTATCGGACGGCTCCACTAGATGCATAGGCAGCTTATGGGGGGATACCATCAAAAGGAGCACCTTCTGTCCCTTCTCTCTCTGACCGATACCAAGGTCGACGATGGTGCATTGTGTATTGCCGGATCCTGTACCTCACAAGGCCCAAGGTCAAGTTCAGTTCCTAGGTCCTTACATCAGACAGGGTTCTGCCTCCTCCCTTGAAGACGGATCTCCCAGGATAGCTGACCAAACCCATGTCAACATCATCTCATCAATATGTCAATCGTCATTACCTGCGATGGCCCTGCCGTTGGCCTGGTAGCAGCGAGTAGCAGCAAGTAGCATCAGGTAGCATCAGGTAGCATCACCTCTCTCCTCCCAATAAGCTGCAAGCCGCTCCCGCAGCCAACACGTCCAGCCGCTGGCTCTAGCTCTGTACGCTGACCGAGGTGTCTTGGTGTACGATGGGTAACGGGACAACAGATGGAGACGGCGCGGGGTTGACGTAGTACAACAGCGTTGCCTCAAGCCTCTCCATTGTGCAGAGAAGTTGTGGGCTGGATTCCTGTTCAAACGATGGGCTGCATAGGTAGTAGGTATTTGTTGACGTGCACAGTGGCTAATACGGTGTTTGATTCGTGGAATACACGGAGTGGAACTTGGCCTGTCGTTCCCTGTCTTCTGGCGTCTTTTTTTCTACGCGTCTTGATGATGATGCTGATGATGATGATGGATGGGAGATCCTCGGCCAATTCCTGGGCAAACTCATCTCCGCACCCCGATGTGCACTAGCAAACGGCCCTTTCTCCACGACAGTGCTTGACAAACGGAGAGCATATGCGCTGCCTCCACACTTAATCCTTGCTTTCTTTTCTTCCCTGTCTTCTTAAAAGTATCTTGTACATCAGACGACTCACAAACTATCCTCTACCCGGTTGATTTGCTCGGTACTTCCAATGTCAACAAAACACCCCTCACGACCTATGCAGTACATCCATAGACATTCATCTACGGCTGGCTAGCTTCCCGAGCCCCAAGATGCGGGTTGGCACTCTGCCGACTGTGGAAGGTAGTACAAGGGACACAGCGGTTTGTCTCAGTCGTCACAGGACCTACTCCACAAGCCAAGGCTCTCGTCCTGAGGCATCGTAAACTCATACGCAAGGTGGTGTCTTCCATACATACAAATCATTGTTCCTAGACCCATCGAACGTTCACACCGTAGGGAACTCGGTCCGCTTATCCAGCATGGAATGGACATCATTCACGATGGAGAAGCGAGGAGAGCCAAGCATTGTCAACATTCCAGATAGAACCGCCTTCTTTTGACAAAAGCTTTCCAGGCCGACTGTGCGAAGTAGACATTCCAATAACTAGTTCTACTTTTGTAACTCTTCTCCAGAGTTTGTTCGTATCTTCGGCTTCTTACTCCGTCGTAACCTTCTTGCCACCAGATGCCACACCAGAATGTATGCATTTCTCATGTTACATGTGTACTCCTTGCCGTCGCTGAAATCATTACGCCTCCTATGCTTTCATGGAAGCTCACGAATCCTACATCGGCGCTGCAATGATTACATCCTCGGTTCGTCTCATTTATTTGGATTCGGCAGAATAATCTCCGAACAAGCCGGGACCAGGGTACGATGCTGAAGCAGACCTGAATGGTTTTAATAAATGTCGATGGCGGCTGTTGTGCGCATTGAATCTCAATCGTATAATTGGCTTCCTCTTCGCCTTCGTTGGCTGGATTTGAAACATTATCCGCCACAATGGCATTTTTTGCCAGTGCCATATGTCGAATTTCTCTGTGGGACAAATAGGACATGGTTGGCCATAACATATACGAGACATAGCTCGTGTTTCCTGTCGCTGCATGTAGATTCAGGGCTTTGTGAGCTGGTCTTTGTGCAATGTTTCGATCGATACAATTCATTCATCGTGAAAGGGCGCGTCGTCAAAACGCCCGTAGGACACTGAATCGGGCGTGCCACTTTCTGGCACCGTTGTAGCTAGACAATATTGAGCGATAGAAGGGGAGATTAGATGGCATTGAATTTACTCTTGGAACAAGTCGTAGTGATTTTGGTAAGAATTTGAGCGCCAACGGATGGCAGTGGGCAAGAGCATAGTTCTGGAAAGTACAAAATCTAGGAATGGCGACTCCAGGTCGAAATGAGGCAATGCTCAAGCGATGTGGAAAAAGTGACAACTCTAGGAATCGCCCTGTGTTAATTGTGTTAATTGTTCGTCATGAAGACCTTGGATATAAAATTCGAAGCGGGCACTGTTGAATCCCCAAGACTTGTGACTAATATACCGTTTGATATGTATAGCTACTTGTATCTTAGTATAGTCATAGAAAAGACCTTGCCGTGCTTCGTGGCGAATGCACGTTCTATTCGATCAACGGGAAAAGCCAATCCAAAGACCATGTAATTGTTTCATCGAAAACTTCCCAGATTGATCGATTCCGTGTAGCCATTCCTATCGTATCAGGTTAGGCGTGTCAGTTTTCATGACTCTACATCCTACTTCTTGTAGGATTGAAGGGCGGTGACTGTGCGGTTTAGTGGCGGTGCAGGCGGAGGGCTGAAGGTTGTAACGACATGTGTACTTGTCTTCTGCCGTATAGCGACAATTCTTGCTAAAGAGATCGCAAAAACTTCAATGCGCGCTCGAATAATTAATTATCATTTAAACTTAATTCTTTTAAATCATTTTAGAATGTTGACAGTTATTTAATGGGCGAATTCAAGACTGATCCAAGTACTTAGGCAGATGTCTCACTAAGCTTAATCGGGTAACGTAGATCGTCCTGCGCTGACCAGTCTCGTCCAACTTCACACGTCGATGACTCCAACTTCATCATCAGCTTCACATCCCAAGCGAGTTGAAGGGCGAAGGGCAAGGGGATGCCGTAGGATCGAGAGCAAAGACACAGCCCCCAAATTGATTTGGGGATCAATTGCCATCTCCCAGGTCGGCCATGACGATAGTATGGTTCTGGAACCCATCTACCAATGAACATACTACAAACATGAAGTTACCCGAGTAGACAAGACCAGAGGACCGGATATCATTCGACTAATTGAGAAATTCGCTATTCCGTAAACCCCATGGTTAAACTGTCAGCTGTGGGGATTCGTGCAGCGCCATGGTTTGTTTGACCAATAAATGTACATCGAATCATGAGGCTGCCTGCAGGCAACACTTTGGTTTCTCACTCTCGAATACAGGATTGAGTCAACCGTTGAGGCACGGACATATATAGATTTCCCAAGTATATATATGCCCTCATCCATCTAGTGATGTACAAAGTTCTTCATCGAATCTTTTTTCTCAAATCATGGGTTCCAAATTGTCTAAGGCTGTGCGGCGGCCGCGCCGCGCAGAGTCCTTCAATACCATGAGCAACAGTGCTCCAGCTCCACATTCACCTGCCGACCAAACCATAAATGCGAAATCCCGTACAGATCAAGTTTGCCAAGATTTGAGCGTTGTCGCCGCTAAGGACGCGATTGTTGTTCTTCCTACACCCAGCATTACTTCTCCCGCCGACAAACTATCCGCCACAGCATCTGGCCAAGTGGCAATCGAAATGGAGCACGAAAACACTCAAGCTCCAGACAGTGCTCCAAGTGTAGAAGTAAAAAATGACCAAGGTAATGACGAACTTTCACTACTTTCCCCCGTCTACCATCCAGCACAAACCCGAACTCACCTTCAGATGGCATTCATCTAACGACCACAGCACTGCAACAAGATGAAGGTAGTAATGATCCACCTCACTCTCCCTCTGCCACTCCCAATCCCATCCCCAAGGCCGAAGCCAGTGTCAAGATAGTGTCTTGCATAATTTGTTGTGACCCGTTCCCGGATACGGACGATACGATCGTCCGTCCTTGCAGGACCAACTGTACATACTGCGTAGAGTGCCTCAGGCATTCATTCCTCAAAGCGTGTTTGGATGTGACACGCATGCCCCCACGTTGCTGCGACACTATTCAACTTCACCATGTGCGACCCTTTCTCACGGATGAGGAACTAAACACCTACCGGGAGAAGTACGACGAGTGGAGCACCCCGAAACCGTTCTACTGCCCAGTCCCGACGTGCTCTGCGTTCATTTCCAACAGGATTCTCAAGAACAACAGCAGTGCGAAAGGAAAGCAGAGAGTCGACTCTGTCGTTGGAACACCGACTTCACCGCACATTGCTTGTCCCAAGTGTAGCACTTCGATATGCACCAACTGTCGACAACTTGAGCACCTGGGTTTGCCCTGCGAAGATCTCCCGTTCGGAGTCGACAAAGAGACTGCCGCGCTGCTCGAGGGCTGGGGTTACAAGAAGTGTCCTAAGTGCGCTCAAGGCGTGAGGCGCATGTATGGTTGCAACCACATGCAGTGCATGTGTGGCGCTCACTGGTGCTGGGCTTGCCAGAGATCAAAGGAAGAGTGCGACGGCGAATGCTACGAATCCGATGAGTATTCCGAGAGCGAATTCGACGAAGAAGATGACAGCAACTCTCCCAACGCTGAAGCTTCCACATCAACGGAGCCTGCTGCTGCTGCTGCTGCCGCTGCCGCCACGACGGAGCAACCAGCCTCAACTGAACTTGCAAATGCGACTCCGACGGCACGGCGACAAAGAAACCTAGATTTGCACTCCCGTCACACTTGGGAAGCAGCCGATATGGATTTCGGCGATGAGCCGAGCAATGACGCTGCAGACAAGCTATGGGACTGCGACCATTACTTCTACATCCCCGGTATATCTCTCACGACACTTTTGACCAAGAAACCGGTCACAATGGAATGCACCAAATGCTGGGCCCCTATTCACAATGAGATTTTCCCGCCAAATGCAACAAAGTTGCCATTCAAAATGACATCTCATTTGTCTCCTAAGAAGAGATGGCGCACACGTTGGGATAGAGAAAGCCCCCTACCAAGGCGCGCTCTAGAAGGGGTCGAGGGAACCAGTTCCACCGCTCCACTGCCGGCTTTCGCTCGCAGACCGCAAAGCTTGCTAGAGCCCGAATCCGAGGACGCAGTCGGTTTGCCGCACAGCGACAACGGCGATCGTGTTAGGGACATGAACGGAAATATTGTCTCTTCCACCGACTGGATACTTCAACCTCGTCCACAGCGCTCGCTTGACGATCTCACTTCAGCGGCCAACCAGGTCCCCGTCTCCCAAGCAAGCTCCGCTGGTGGCGCAACTAAACTCAATCCCACGCCGTTCAGCTTTGCATACGAGTGCGAGACTTGCAACATGCTCCTCTGCCGCACTTGCAAGGAGGAGGAGGAAGCCGAGTCCAAAGCCCGCAAGGAGTTGAGGGCCAAGAACGCAATCGATGAGACTTGATCTCCCCACGGCCTTCTGAATGACTCCTCGTTTTGCTCAACTCGACCTTTGCATTTTCAGGACACACGGGCTTCTGGGAGAGGATACATTGGCCTTTTTGTTTACTTCATGTACATCATCCACACAGACAAAACTGTCTAATTGTTTTCCCCGTTCACCTTATCAACCCTCACGCTCCGCCGTCATAATGGCGTTTAGGAAGGAGAGATGAGACATGCATGTAAGCGTAGCATTTTCAGATCCGGCGTTATCAGGCAGGCAGGCAGGCAATATCGGCGTTGGGGTTTTGTTTTTCGAATGTATAAACTTTTGTTACATCACTCCTTATTTTCCTCGTGATTGCGAAAAACGTGATGTGATGTTGTTATACAAGCAAGTAGAATAGGGACAATATTTGGGGAGATGGGTCGTTGAGATGGGTCGATCGAAGTCTGGTACGGTACTGCCTACCCATGGTTGTGTGGTGGACGACGATACTGAAGGAATTCAAGGTTGGAAAGACGCACGTATTTCTGGTGATGACACCTTGATGACTGGCATTTCATTCCGGCTACTGCTTTTCTACGTTCTTCACTGTTTCTCTGCTATGATAGCACAGTACGAGGGAAACGAAAGTCATGTATCGTAATGTGCTATTACTCCTTACCGTATGATGAATACATCACGTCAAGCTCGGACTCTAACTCGAACTGCAATTGAAAGATGGTGTAGGTGAATTGGATGTTGATGCCTCCTTCTGTTTTTTGGTCATTTTGGGAACTGCATACATGAGATAGCAAAGAGCGAGGGGGTGGATAGGGGAAGGACCAAGCCATTGGTTGGAGATCACTGAATAATTATGTATCTGTCAGTGGAGACGTAAGGTTAGGTGGAATAACATCGAGCAAGATTCGAGTTCGTTTGCTTGTGGGATTGGATTCACTTCGATACATATTTCCTCATGTGATGTGATGGGACAGATGGGAGTGAGTGAGGTAGATGTGCTTGTGTTTGTAAATCCCGATTTGTTTTTTGTACTTGCTCTACTGCTGCTGCTCTGCCTTTCCTGCCTGCCCTGCCGGTGTCGTGCTGGCCTCTGATTTTTAGAAATTTCCATTTGCCGCTCTCCCCCAACTTTCAAACAATCAAGATAAAAACCCCACACACATACATTTCATGTACTCTCCCGCCCGTTTGCCAGATACAGAGTAGAAAAAAGGGGGAGGAGTTTCAATGTTCGGCACTCATGACTTCTCAGCGGAAGATGAAGACGCACGTAGTCCTAGACGTTTGTCGAATGAACCTATGAGCCGAGGCTGGGGAAAGCGCTGGAGTCGGTGATGTTGGGGCCAGCCTGGCCGCCACGTCCACCGCGTCCACGGCCCTCACCACGTCCGCGACCCTCGCCACGGCCACGTCCGCCGCGGCCACGTCCCTCTCCACCACGGAACTCACCACGAGGGCGGCCCTCGCCACGGCCCTCACCGCGGGGGCGTCCCTCGCCGCGGAACTCGCCACGGCCACGGCCGCGGCCACGGAAGCCAGAAGACTCGCGGTTGTCCTGCTTGATCAGGTGGGCGTCATCGAGCTCGACGAACTCCTTCTGCTTGCGCTCACGCTCACGCTTGGCCTTGCCACCGGAGCCGGCGATGAAGTCCTCCTCACCGTCGCGCTCGACAGCTTTACCCTCGGGGAACTTCTTGGAGGACCCCTCGTTGGCCTTGCGGACGTTGCTGGCAGCAAGGGAGAGCTTCTTCTCGGCCTGCTCGGCAAGGTAGGCAGCGTAGGACTGGGTCTTGTCCTCGGGCTCAGGCTCGGCGGCCTCAGCATCGGCCTCGCCATCCTCCTTCTCCTCCTGCTTGGCAATGGCCTCTCCGGCCTTCTCGTCGGCCCACTCGGAGTTTCCGTCGTTTCCTCCCCATCCGTGAGCGGCCTGCTTCTCGTGCTCGCTGTTACCGAGAGTCAGTAAAGTCCAATTGACAAATGATATATCGAAGAAATTGGAGGAACTTACCCAAGACCGGTCCTGCTGTGGCGGTCTCCACCGGCAGCACCACCACGGCCTCGGCCACGTCCGCGACCACGGCCACGAGAGGGGAACTCTCCGGGTTCTATGTACGTATATCAGCAAAGGTTCGGATCGATCGATTGAGGAGAAATAGAGAGCACTCACCACCAGAGCCCCTGTTGCGGTTCCTGTCAGATCCTACGCCACGATCCCGGAAAGCTACATCGAATCGTTAGCCAAAATTGATCAATTCGCCTCAATGGTGGATCGGGGCATGTTCAGCAACAGACGCTTAACGCTTCATATCACAGCTGCCCTCAACCCATCGGATCTCGACGACATACCGTTCTCGTTGGCGTTGTTGGTGGGCTGGCGGCCACCGTTGGCGTTGCCAGCGGGTCCTCGGGCTGGAGCCTCGGCGGGAGCATTGCGCTTGCCAGACCTTGCAACGGGCTTGTCAATGGCCTTGGTGGGCTGCTCCGGTGTCTTCCTTTCGGGGTCTTGCTCGGGGTCGTTGCCTGTGTGGGTTTGTGTGAGTGTGAAAAATTCCCAATGAGGGGTACTACTGTGGGAGCTGGGCGTATCCTACCGAGGAGGTCGTAGAGGTTCTGTGTTACGCAAAGTCAGCACAAAAACTCGAGCAATTGAGTCGATAGATAGATGGAGGATGCAGCTCGAGCGTCGCAGGACGCCGAAGCTCGAGGGAAAGGAGCAAAATTGGCTCACCTTAGAGGCGATTGACATGGTGGATGGATTGAAGCGCCTTTCGCGCTTTTCCTTCTAGAAGCGCAATCTGCTGGATCGAAAGAAACGTTCTGAGAGCTGACCCTGCTGGAGAAGGTCTGGGCTCTCGCTGGAATAGGGTGGTGCTTGTGAAAAGCGAGATGGAGTTGGCGTTGGTGTTGAGGGTTGGTAAACCTGCCCGGCGGTGGGAAACAGTGGGAAAATGGGGGAAAATCGTTCGTGCGGTAAGAGCGGGGCACGGACCAGGACTCCGAACCTCAAGCGGAGTTGCAACCAGACAAAGGGACGGAATACATCACTTTGGTGGGGTTATCCCGAAACGTACAATTCTTTGCGGCATGGTATTTATTTCACTTGATCACTCATGTTGTTGGCACTTCTGAATACTCATAGGGAATAATATTACTGCTTCAAATTGCTTCAAAGGAGCAATGTTTCTGGCAGTGTGGGCAAGCGCTTCGCTTAATTGGAGGTTGACAGAGCATATGTCTTGGCATTCTGACCTCATTGTTGACAAGCAACCTTGGAACACATGTTATATACAATCGGCACAGTTGGTGAGGGAAATGATGTTTTTCATGTTTGCAGAGACGTTTCACTTTATGTCTCGATTATATATTTACAGATTCGAGTAGAGCCTTGGAATAGTTGGCCCGGTCGACAGCTCGAAAAGGAATATGATGATTAAAACCCATGAACAGTTGAAAAGTGATGTGGTTCGTTGAGAATAAGGAATCCACCACATCATGCCCGACGGAAAAAAAATAAAAATAAAAACCCGTAACCGATTCCAAGCCATAACTTTTGTGTTTGTTGTAGATGCCGCCGTTGATCGTAAATAGGACAGCCGTCGAATGATTCCCAAAGTTCGCATGTAAAAATAATAATAAAAAAGAACGCCGTCGTGGTCGTTGTCGTCGACCGCATGTCCCAGCATAACCGCCCTGGCGCCCGCTAATGTAACACAAGCATGAAAGGCGGTCCTTTCCGGTTTGTTTCCCCCCCAATCCGAATCTCCTGGTAATATCACATTGGCGTATCCCCCAATACTGTCCTTCACTCGGTCCTTTCCCCCTCATATTCACCGTGATTCGTACATTGTCGGAAAGTGCATGCTTGCTGAAAGGCCGAATGGATCGGCATCAAGCATTGGGTCGTAAGGGTCGAAGAGGTGGTTCATGCCGTTGAACACGGCGGCGTTCACCCCATTCGAGTCGTTGTTCGAAATGTTCCCGGATGGCGGGGTGTATTGCTGGTTCTGTGCGGGCTGCATCGGCGGTTGCATGCCCTGGTTCTGTTGCATCGATTGCCCTTGCTGAGGGAAGTTCTGCTGCGAGAAAGGGCCGGGACCAGGGCCGGCAGATTGGTCGCTCGGGTCGTCATGATCAAGCATATCGGCTTGTTCATCATACTCTTGCTCTGTACTCACGGAATCAGTCTAGGACGACAGAGCTCTATACCTAAGAGGTGGAAGAGGAGTTTGGGGTACTTGCCGAGCTGGTTCATATGGCTCTCGAAGGGAGAGGTGTAGTAGGAGGACGGGCCGCCACTGGTGCTGCTCTGGGTCATTACACTTGCCGGGCCACTGCCTACGGTGGATGCACTATTGATTCCGTTCGACGGAGACTGGTTGGTGATTACGGACGGACGCTGTGGTCCTTGTTGTCCCTGCTGTCCCTGTGGTCCCATGATTGGGGTGAAGTGTGATCTAGGTGGCTGAGGTCGCAATGGCTGCTGGCCCGGTTGCTGCTGTGGCAGAGGCCCGAAGTTGGGCGATACCGACGTGCCTTGCGGCATGAAATTGGGAGATTGCGTTTGTGACGCGGTTGGAGAGGAGAGATGAGAAGCAGGAGTGGGCTGGGACAGTGGTGAGCGCTGTGGCAAGGCACCGTCTGGTTGGATCATTGGCAGGCCATGGTGGACGCCTTCAGCTTTCGGCGGTCCTCCCAAGGACCGCCTTTGCTGCTGTCTATTCAAAATGGCGCGCTGTTGAAGCGGCGGCTGGTTGGGAGAAGTTTGAGCAGAGGCAGCGGCACGAGTCGGACCCAGGTTGGGGCTCCCAGTCTTTGCGCGCAGCTCGGCCTGAACGTCTATGCCTAGAGGTGGAAGGAAAGGTCAGCATGGGGTTCGGAGAGGGAGATGGGCAGTGGAACGGGTATGGAAGAGGTGAGGGGCAAAGACGGGGAGGAAGAAGAATTGATTCTGCCCACCTTTCTCCAGCAAGATTCTTTCTAGAAGCGAATTCTTGTATCGGAGCATGAGACACTCGTCGGCGGCATTGCGATGACTATTTTGGAGGTTCTGCAGGGTCTCCTCGTGGTGCTTGATCGTACTCTCTAGCTGTTTGATGTACTCGGTGCGGCGTTCACGAAAGGCAGCCTGGGCCTGACGATTCCGCTGTTTGCGCTCCTCCGAGGTGGCATAAATCTTACGTCGCTTGGTTAGTGCTATCTTTGACATTGTGAATGCATCCGCAAAGGATGGGGTGATGGTAGTGGTAGTAGTAGTGGAGCCACTGGACATGGACATGGACATGGCAACTGACAATTGGCAACGACGATGAGCAATGGGCAATTGGCAACGACGATGACAACAGACAGTAGTCAGTGGCAGAGGCAGAGGCAGAAGCAAAGGCAGTGTAGAGTGAATGGTGTATATGGGGGGGTGGGAGATAAGTGTACGGTGGGTGGAGCAGTGCAGGTGGAGTAAAGGTAAGTAAGTGCAGATGCAATCGGCAAAAGCAAAGGGCAAGTAGTAGATATGGGGTACGGGATCGGAGATAAAAAAGAACAAAAGGTAGGATAAGAGAGAGAGAGAGAGGCTCACTGGTTTACGACCACCTTTGCGCTTCTGCTGTTGGGGGTTCTCTTGGGTATATGTGCCCTGAGTCTCAGGCTCCGGGGAGGACGCGATAGAGCTCGTCGAACCATCGCGCGAGGGTTCGGCTTTTCCCACGGGGGCCGTCATATCTGTTACGCTACTATCTCCTCCCATCTGCAGTGCATGCACCCCTCCTTCCTCACTGGACTACGACCTCTACTACTTTTTGGGGGGCGCAGGACGGGGAACTTGGATCTTGGATTGGGAGCTGATAACGATCGCAAGTCCAGTAGATCCGACACAGTAGTGGTAGTAGAGAGACGGCAGAGGTCGGGGGTTTGATAGTGGTGGTGGTGCACGTTCACACTGACGCTGACGCAGACACACAAACACAGACACAATCGCTGCCAAGGTTGGGGACTGCGACTGGGAACTGCGATTTGCGGTAGGACGAGAATTGGGGGAGACGCGATAGCGATCGTGTCGAACTCAGTCGAGCTGAGAGGGCGGCAACGCGCAAGACCGCGGTACCGCAAGGTTACGACCTCAAAACCGCGACTCTACTTTTCGTCTTTTCTTTCTGGCCCTCTTTTGATAGCGATAGAAGGGTTTGCCCGTTGATGGGTTGACGTTACGGGCGGTTGACGGTAGGCGATGATGCGATCAGAGGGGCGGGGATACGCGGAGGGAGCAGAATCGCACAGTTGGGAACGAGAAAGGGTCTAAGCGCGCGGAGAAAGGGCGGCAGCCGTAGTGTCGGGTCGAAAAGTAGGTCCAGGTGTGAGTTGCGTGTGTGCGAGTGTGTATGTGTGAGTGTAGGGGTTTGATAATGTGGTTGATAGATAACGATTGAGAGAAGAAAGCTGTTTGGCTGTTGGGATGAAGTTGGGCAAAAGATGTGAGGTAAGCCTTTGGGTAATGGAAATGAAAAGATTAGGTACGAGAAGTAGTGCGCAGAGTAGGATGAAAGAGGGTAGGGCACGTTAGGGTAGGGAAGGATAGGATAGGGTAGGGTGTAGGGTAAGGCAAGGCAAGGCAAGGCAAGGCAAACGATGTACGGTAGGCGAATAACCGGGGGGGCCTCGGAGAGCGGAGAGCGGAGAGGTCGGAAAAAGGTTGATGGATGATGGATGAGCAAACACACTTGGAAAGGGAGTTACGAGGTAACTAATTATGAGAGAGAGGGCGAGGGAAGATTAGGGAGGAAAGACGAGAGTGAATGAGCGAAAAGCGGGCAAACAAAAAAACCTGTGAGTGCCCGTGGGTGTGTGCGAGAGAGGGTCAAGAAGGTTAGAATTTTAGAACACGCGCACACCTGGATACCTAGGTATAGGTAGGTACTCAGAGTTAGAGACTGTCTTGGATCTGGGATAGATGGTTATGATTATTATTGGGGACGAATTGTTTCTGGTTTTTTTCTTCTTCTTCTGAATTTGGCCTGCAATTAGGATTGGGAATTAATGGGATTATTGGGATTGCGACTGGGGCAGGCAGCTCGCGAACCGATGAACTGAATGAATGATCTGGAGCCTGGACAGCCGCTGCTCTGGCACATCTCTTACTGGTGTTGCTACTTGTAGATACATACGGTGATACGGTACTGAACGGACGATGATGTGTATGCGCCCACATCTCTCCCCATCTACTCTCCTTTGACCTGTAACGTGACGTACTACGGATAATATTTATGTCGATTTCTGCCTAGATGGATGCTTTTTCACTTCGCTTCGCACATCATCCAAGAAATCAATCATAGAAGGCAAAAAAAGAAAATAAAAGGAAATCAACGCAGGGCAGGGCAGACAGGGCATGGACAAGGGGCCAAGCAGTCCCGTTCACGATGCTTTGCCCATCGAGACGAGGGAGCGGAAGAGGCACGGCGGCGCTCTCGGAGGCTTGCAGGAGGAAGAAAAAAGAATTTTCCTTTTCCACCAGGTTTGCTTTGCCTGGGGGGGATACGGCCAATTGGGGCGATGGAATGATGGGGTGAGGGGGGAATGGAGGCTTCAAGCGTAGGAGAACGGGCCAGCCTGGTGGATCTCTTCCAGTCCGGTGGCCTCCACCAGCAGATTTGTGATCTAGCCCTGGAGCCAGCCAGAGCCAGCCAGTGCCAGCCAAGGGCGACAACGGAGGGATTGCACAGGAGTTATAGGATAGGATGGAGCAAACAGGTCTGTCAGATTGATTGATTGATTGATTGACCGATTGACACACTTGACAAAACCAGACCAGACCAAACCAGAACCTGCGTGCATGCCAATGACATGTTCACCGGCCGGTGGTTATTGAGTTTTGCTTGTTTTTCTTTTCTTTTTCTTTTTCATTGTTCTTCTCCTAGGCGTCGGTTACAGACGCTGGAAGGACGTATTGAGTACCTAGGCACTAGTGGACGAATGCAGACAGGATTGGAGCAGTTGGAGTGGGAGGGGACTTTTGGAGCAATTGGAGACGGTTAGATCGACCTATCTACTTGTACAAGTAGATTCAGGTAGACGAGATGCAATAGTATGCTATTCTCAAAATGTCCAACGAAATGCATAGGCTGCTTTGGCGTCCTCCATTGGCAAGACTTGTCGTTATCGCTATGCTGGGAGCGTGGGGAGTGCTAGAACTATATTATATCTTCTTATCGTGCCCATACCTGGATGGCTGATGATTGTATCGCATCGACATGTACTTTTGTTAATACAAGTACTTCCATACCACATACACACATACATACCTAGGTACATACAGAATACCGTTTGATGGAACTCGCCGTCTTGCACCTCGTAGGTTGGGAACCAAAAAGTGGAAGATGAATGGACACGGCACGTGCAATGTTTTTTTTCCGGCTGGAAAGCTTTTCCGCATTCTGCATGGCCGATGACGCTAGATGGCTTAAGCGAGAGGTTAGCTCCAGTTTAGCGTCATCATACCCTGCTCCTCAAGGATACCCCCTGATGTTATTTTCCAACTTTCTCATGCATCTCCGGCATCTCCATGGCTTCTTCCTCTCTACGAGTACCGTCTACACACTCCCAAACAGTAGCAACAAGAACAACAATATCATCATTGCAATCGCTATCATTATCGATAGAGACAAACGTCTCTTTGAAGTTGTTTCTCCTCTCATTGTTATCAGATCGTCCTCTCCAATCAGCTAGGCTAGTCCTACTATGCGCGTCTATCCCGTTTACTGTGTATCTCAACTCACTGCTCAACCTTTTCAGTACTTACACAGTACACAGTACAAGCACTCCCTACGAATACAAAGATTCCCCGCTTTCCCAACAGTTAATCACATCATCTATCATACATCATCAATCAATTCTGTATCTAATCATCTTTCTCCTCTCACGCCTCAATCTGCTGCAGGGTACGTTCTCAATCCACCAACCGCTCAGCCCACTCGATTATTGGCTGGGAGCCTGTCAGATCGGCTGGCGCATACCCTCACAGAAGAGGTAACCCGGCCCAACTGGCTTGCATTCGTTCATTCAAATTTCATGCACATGCAAACACACAGACAGACATTGTCAGACACATGCACATCCATCCTTGTTCTTTTTCTTTTTGACTTTCGGTTCGGCATCGTCCAACGCCCGTCGGTCTTTGCTCGCTCACCCACTATCTCGGCTCGGGAAGGTCCAACGATGCGATGCAATACGAAACGATACAAAACCCAAGTTATCTACGATAGTATTAGTACAATACATATCAGAGACTACGAGTAGAGCGAGCACAGGTAAAGGAAAGGATACGAGTACGACATGAGCCTCCATCGATAGGGATGGTCGGATCATGCACCCATGCAATCGCCTCACCATGATCCCCCTCGTCAGGCTCGTCTTCTTCCTCTTCTTCCTATCGAGTCTCCAATCTCCACTCGTGCATGCAGGCCATGCTCTTTGTTGCCCAAATCGGGAATCCGGCTTGGTTTCTCAAACAACACCATCCTCTATCCAACTCATCATTGCAGCAGTAGCAGTCTCATCACCACCATACAGCACGCAACAGCACAGAGCAGAATATGCAAGCCTCCACCGTCCGGCGGCCAGCCTCGCTTCTGCTTGCGAATCCATCAAATCTCTCTGTCCTCGTGATCGTTCCTCCGACTCTCCCCTCCCTGCTTCGTGTCAATCCACCTCACCATGTTCCGAAATAGAAATATAGCAGAACCACGTGTTGCCGGGCCGATTCCTCCTCTCATGCGCCTAGCATTTGGAACGGAACTCGTTCGACCCAAACTGTCAACGACGTCTATTGCATAATCTGATTCTGACCTTCATCACAGATTGTACAGAACAGTCCACTGTCATAATTATTCCTGGAAGAACCATGTGCTATCTTTCATGTACCGTAGGTAGATGCTTTACATCGGCTAAGGATCCAAGGTATACAGACCGTGGCTAAAACCACTTCACCAACTGAGTACAAAATATTAATATGAAACAACACCTTTTCACCGAGCCTCTCTCGTAGGGCGATATCAGACTCACAAGGACTTAAAAAGATTTAATTGAATGATTATTCTCTCTAGATCTAAAACAATTGCATCGTATACCGGCATGACATCGTGCAATCGTTTTGCTTGTATGGTGATGGTAATAATCGTTGAGCAGTCATGCCTCCATCGCGACTTCCTCTAAGAGCTTCTCGACTGCACTCACTTACTGGTACCCTTCAACCTCAACACCACGATGCGCCTTTCACTCTACAACCTTCGACCGACAGCATCCAAAAACTTTGGAAATATCGAGCATTCAAATAGTCTCACATGACTTTTCTCCCTGTTACTGTCAGATACTACTGCAGCATTCGCATTCATCAATCAGTTAATATATGATTGCTTCCTTTCCAATCACAATCTCCTCACTGCCACCTTTCGGATTGTCTTTCTCCACTACATCATCCAAACAGCGCCATCGACCAAAAGAGCCCGCGGTGCCCCTCCTGCCACTCTCTGCTTTGCGTATTTCTCTGAGAAACATCGAAGCGTCCTTGGAGGAGGCATGATCGGCAACAGTCTGGCTGACTTTAGAACACTCTCGGTCAATGCTCAGCCCTGGGCCAGAACCCGTCCACTGTCAGATATACGGGAGCTCACAGAGCCAAGCCTGATCGATTCGATCCCTCCCAAAATCCTTTCCGATTCCTCCATCGCCCGATCTTCTTCTTTGACCAGGAGACCATCGGTGACATCTAGGCATCGCCCGAGTACGGACATCCAACTTCCCGAGAATGGGGATCCCGGCAGGAAGAATGGCTGTGATGCTCATCGGCATGGTGCCCGATCAGTCAACCGGCGGCAAGCCTCCAGAACACCATCGCCGCCTAGTCCAGCAGACAATAGCCTTGAAAGTATATACAGTATACCACCGAGCAGTGTACCGCCTCGCTCGTCCTCAAGAACTCGGGCGAGAAGTTCCTCTCGCCCTAGATTGCCACCTCCTCCAATGCCGCCCTTGCCCGTCACCCAACGAGCACCCGTGCCACCTTCGATAAGCACAGTGAACCCTACAATCCCTATCCCTCAACCTCCTAATCAAGCAACTAGTAATACCAAACCGCAAATCCGACCATCTTACTCACCATTACGCCAGATTGCAGCTCGGCTTGATGCTGGCTCTCAAGATACCCATAAGCGCCTACCATCGAAAACGTTCATTAGAGAGCCCCTTTCGAATGAGCTACTAGACTTCCCATCTCATAAACATCCTAGAATCACCCTTGGAGTGGACCTCGCCGCTGGAATCTTCGTCGGCGGTGGATCTGTCGAAGGAACTGTTCAAATCGTCGTTGACGATGCCGAACGCATACGGCACAGGAGAACCTTAGACATCGCTAGGATATCCATTGATCTACTTGGATTGGAAGAAATGTGTGGAAACAGACGATCGGTATTTCTCAATCTAGCAAACGAATTGATCGATGACGCAAACCCTCCGCCACAGAGCATGGTCGATAGCCAGGAGCAGATCGACAGAAATGATCCTTTTTGGCACCTCAAACCCTCTATAACTAATCTGCCATTCATAATGAGTTTGCCTCTGAATGTCGGACCCCCGCCATTCCAGTCGAAGAACGCTCGCATTCGATATTCACTCTGTGTATCTTTACTCATCAGAGACCAAGGCAAGCAGTGGATCGTAAGGACATCGGAGGATATTACTATCCTGTCGGTTTATGATCGTGCGTGTCCATTTTCGATGCTCTCCTTGATCTGACTGACATTCGATTGCAGCGGAGAAAGCGCTCGTGTCTCTTCCTAGTCCCTTAACAGCATCGGATGAATGGGTCAAACCTCGCGATTCTGGGATCGAATCTGTTAGGGTGACGACAGGGCTTCATCGTCAAGTCTGGGTCAGCGGAACTGATATCTACGCCGACGTGAGAATTATCAACAATAGCCGGAAAACTGTCAAAAGGATTGAGTTGCAGCTTGAAAGGGACATTCTCTGCTACAAACACGTCTGTTGTTTGCAGAGCTGTCCTGCCTTATCGAAGAGTGCTAATTTATTCCCAGGCTGCCGCTTACACACTGGAGAAATCTGCTGGTCAAGCCCGAATCTTTGACAGTAACGAACGATCTATCTTGAGTAGGTCGATTACCAAGCAAGGAACTGCTGGTTGGCATGGTGTTTCCGCACATACGGCACAGACAAGAACATGCGATTTGGAAGTGCCTCGTGGCCATGCTACGGTCAAATGCGGTAAGAAGTCAAATTTCCCTTTGCCATCGATGTCACTGAGCATGGTAGGAAAATACTTTGAAGTCCGATATTTTCTGAACGTCATTATAAGCACCTTCCACACGTACGTACTATTCGTGGCCATTGCTGAGCGATTATTGACATTTTCTAGAAAGCTCGTTGCAGTACAGCTTCCAATCGTCTTGATCCACATGGTTTGCCATCTTGCACAAGTCTTGACAATTGTTCTTACAGCTGTCTAGAACTCTCTTGACGTGGTCCCGAACTCAGTTGCACAGGTAGCTGCTGCGATAGAGGAAAAGCGAACAGCGAACAGTTACCCCCGTGCACACTCGCCCCCACGGCTAGGTCGCCGCCCCTCTCAGTCTGTTCAAGGCCGTGCCTTTGCAGCTCCTCGAATGCAATCCCTCGATCGCATGCGTGCTGAAGCCGATGACTTAGAGGAGCTTGGCCACATCCTAGACCAGTCCCCTCGCAAATACCCTCCTCGGCGTGTGAACCCAGACTACACTTATCATACCCCTCCCAGCAACCGCAAGGGGAGGATCGTTGGCGGTAAGGATATGGCAGATCTTCGGCAACAGCTTCGAAACGTAAGATCAAGTGAAAGTCTTGCGTCGAAGGCCCCGGCCAGTATCTACAGAGGAGGCTCGATGAATTCTCGACGAGCTGGTGGTTCTGCGCTTGGCTTTCGAGATGCAGAAGTTAAGGAAGACTACGACCTGACTGGATTTGAAGCTCCTTCCGAGGCTCCCTTCAAGCAGCGATTGGAGCAGAGTCGAGAAAGACAGTATCGCTTCGGGAAGAAGAAGAGCGTGGAGCGATGGAAGGGCGTCGGCGTCGGCTGGCTTCGAGGTAACGGAGGTGGCGGGAAAGACGAGCGAGAGCGGTATGGATGGGTGTGACAAGCAATGACCCAGGGTCTGAGTTTCTTTTTTCGTTTTTGCACCACTTCTTTTGGAAAATACCCCAGGGACGCCGTGATATTCTTTCGAGAACCTAGCCTACATATAAATATCTATTCCTTCTTGTCATCGTTGCTGTTGTCCACTCTATATCAAGGGCCGATGAAGGGGCCTGTCACTGAAGGATGGTTTCATGGATTGATGGATTTCTATTTCTTGACGTATGTTTGATTTGAATATTCGAAATTTCGGTGCATGAGCCAGCCATATATAAGTACAAGCCCTATGTGAAGGCATCGCATCGAGCATGCCACCAACCTACCCACCTACTACACCACCTTAATTCCAAAAAACGCAATAAAACAGCCAACCAACCAATAGAAAATAAACAGGGATGGAGAATGAAAAGACAAGACATAGGGAAGAGAAGACTGCGTGAAGATGGAACAATGGGAGAGACGGGTAACAAAAGTAAAGAGAATGGAACGTGTGGGGAAAGAACAGTAGTGTGGGAGAGGTAAAAGGAAAAGTAGGGTATCGTATCTAATCATCAGCACAACTGCCACCATGAGCCGGCCGGAAAGGAAAAAACCCGCTGGGGCATTGCCTGCCCCCTTTTGAGATACATTACCGTTTACTTCTTCTTTTGCGTTTTCAGGTTGCTGTTAATGGTTGAATGATTAATTTCGTGTTTCATGTTTTTTTTTCTGTTCTTTTCCTCTGGGGGTTTTCTCTCTCTAGGATGTTGATTGAGAAGGTATTTGGGCGGCACGTGATGTTGATGTTGATGTGCAGTGGTGAGTCGGTGTTCGTGATTGTGAGGATAGGGGGAATGTGGCTGGAATGATGGTGATAAAGGAAAGGCGTAGAAACCGGACCCCGCGAAGGGAATATTCGTACAAGAAAGTGAGACGTAATGAGACGTATTCTTTACTTCTCGTCGTCATCATCATCGTCCTTCTTCCCCTCCACAGTCTCGACCTCGACCTCCCTCTCGATGTTCCCCTTGCGGTCGCGCGTCGTGAACTTGTACTTTCCACCATCCCAGAGGTCCTTGAACGTAAGCTCCTTGGTACGACCCAAGCTCTCGATGTCGCCAATGCGGTCGAGCGTGGCCTCGAGGAAGTCCTCGAACCCGTCCGCGGAGCAGATCTCGTTAAACGCGCGCTGCATGGGCACTGAGTCCGCCCGCACCATGGCGTGCGAGTCGATGGCGAAGATGGACAGGTCGTGGTGCTGGCGGATAAAGTCGGCGCGCGTCATGATGTAGCGAGCTTCGTGGAGAGGGAACTCAGGGAGAATGTGGCCGCGGTGCGGATCGTAGGTGGATTCCATCTGCGTGTATTTCTTGTGTAGGGCCAGGGCGAGGACCATGGCTGTGGACTTTGATGGGGGATCCCGTTAGTTTGAATGATTGAGGGGAGAGAGAGAATATGTCAAAACTTACTGCGTACTTCTGCTGGTCCATGACGTCGTCGTCCATCTCCTTGCCGAGGATGCCGCAGTTGTTGAGGAACCAGGTCTTCTCCATGTGGCAGATGTGGTCGCACATATTGATCATGTCCTGCGCTTTGGCGACGCGGTTCAAGAAGGTGAGACGTCCTCCTATCTTGTCGTACACCTCTTCGAGCACCTTGAATTCGGTCTGCTCGCGGAAGTACTTCATGCGGTAGTTTCGCAGCGCCTGGATTGCGCGGTCCTTGGGCAGATCCTTGACCTGCGTGACCTCCATCCTGGTCGCGTGCTGCTTGAGCCGCTCGTACACCCAGTACTTGTCCGAGTTGATGATGACGGTCGCGAGGTTGGATGCTGCCCACTGTTCTGCCCGCTGCTGGATCAGCTCGATCAGATCCCGGCCGTCCTCATCGTCGCGGAGCAGATGCGCCTGGTTGATGATGAGAATTAGGGGCTTTCCACCTCTTTCCCGGCGCCTTAGGGCAACCTTCTCGAGCTTGTTGAATGCACGCTCGATGTCGAGGAGCGCGGATGCGTCACGTGGTCCCCGGATGGAGAAGAGTGCACCGATGTTGTCCTCATGAAATTCAAAGTCCAGACACCTGCCGAGTCTGATGCGGAAGAGCTCCAGGTCAGCGTGGGCTTCAACCATGGAGACGCCCTCGCCATCGATCTTGGACATGGCATCGATCAGCATCGAGCTCTTGCCCGTCCCCTTCTCGCCGATGAGCAGGTGGTAGCGTCCCTTGTCGTGCCCGCTGACGATCTTATCGATTCTGGCCTGTTCCTCACGGGGGATCCACCGGTCGTACTCGGCTTCGTCATTGAGTCCTGGGATGTCTCCTTTCGCCCCCGCGTGGTCGCGATGTGGAATTCCCTTCCCAGTCGCTGCGAGCTCCAGCACGGGATCCCCTGGACGGAAGGCGTTCTCCATCTTCTCCAGCACCATGTACTTGTAGTATCTGGTGTAGCTGTAGCCAACCAGACCTAGAATGAAGATGGATGCTCCAGTCGTGGCGGCGGATTCGAACATCTTGAACGCGGTGCCTTTCCACTTGGCCCTCGGATCGTCGCCGCCCTTCTTGGACCCTTTCCTCCCTCCCTCTTCCTCCTCTTCATGCACATTTTCAGTGGCATCGTCAATTGGATTTGGGGTGTCGTTTCCTGGTGTCGGGGGTCCGGATTGGCCAGTGATGCTGCGCGCGAGCTGATGAGGTTGCGTGCGCGATGAATTGCGTCCAGGGAAAGACCGAGGTGCCCGGGCTGATAACAAGCAGGGACGTGGTTGCAGGAACTGGGACTGGGACAGGAAACGGCGGCCAGCGCATCGTGCTAGTGGGATAGGAACGTTCCTGGATAGAGGTCGTAACATAGACATTATTTCTAATTTTCACGGGAGATCCGGTGCAGTGGGTGGGATGTGCGCATTCGAATTATTCAGAGATACAGACGGGGTACAGCACGGTACGGTACGGCACGGTTGCGCGTGGGTGGCTGCTGCGTTGCGATGGGCACGTGTCAACAGTCTCCAGGCGATTGCGGATTTGTTCAGAGGAGTAGAAGATGAAGAAGAGAGGAAAGAAGAAATTGCTGTATGAATGAATGGATTGATGAATGAATTGACCGAGGAGAAGAAAAGGATAGTCAAATGAATGGAAATGAGAAGAGTGGTCGGTTTGAAAGAGGTGGGAGAATTAGGAGATCAAGGTTAGTTAGGACGAGATGCGAGATGTGGAATCTTGCTGCCAATCTCCTCCTGCTCTTTGCTGTCCTCAGCAGCTTCCGTGGATCCTGTGTACTGTGTAGGTAGAGGGAGGTAGTCGGCAGTCAGTTATTAGTTACTCGAAGCTCTTGTCTCTCATCTCCCTCTCATCTCAGGAGGTTTCTCTAGGCCAAGGCCAGTGCGCGGGTTCTTTTCTTGTGTTGGCATCTTCTTTCTACGGTGACCTGTGATTGGTAGGATTAGTCTATGTGGCCATGACACGGTGGTCTCGTGTGATTGGTGCATCGTGTCTAGTAGTGATCATGGGGGAGACGCAGTCAAGTCTCATCATGTAAAGAAGAAGTGAGAAAGAGAAGAACAACGACCGTCAGAATAAGAGTAAAAATAGAGGATAAGGTGCTGATTTAAGGAACTTGGGTTTATTAACAAATCACCGGCAACCATATCCGATTCAAACACACTTGACTGAGTGACTGGGCTGGGGTACGTGGGCGATTGATTATGCATTGTTTGGGGGCCAATCGATCTTCCGTACTATCCGCCTTCCGAGGTCTCGTACGGTATGTGACTACAACTACAGTGTATGTAGTTACACAGTAGTTACGTAGTTACTATGTTAGGCAGGAGTTGCCTGTAGGACATTGATAGATACGCATGATACAATAATGATTGTACAAGTAAATGCCTGTACCCGGATCCGGATATAGTAGTACTGGACATCCTCGGAAGTATACTTGTTCCGATGAGGATCCATGTTCCTAGTACACAGTATGTGTATGCTTGTACAAGTCTCATTGAGGAACAGCCGACAATTGCAGTGAAGGGCCCGGCCCATTCATTCTATCTGTCTATCATCTGAGAAAGAATTGATGCTACAAGTCTATGCTAAGTACTCATTATTACTTGATGACATATTGGTCAACTGTAACTGATGATGTGAAAAAGAATTAATGAGGCGATCAAGAATTTGCGGGTGGTCACGGGAGGAATGTAGTGATCTAAGGTCCCCGATTAGGTTTAGCTCTACACAGCTAAACGGCTTGGACCCGGTCCGGTTGAGTCGATTATTTTCTATTTCGTCAAAAAGTTTTACTGGCAGAGGAAGAAGGCTCGTCTTGTATGGGAACAAACGGAAAACCAACCAACGAGTAGACATCAAGGGCCCTGACATACCGCCTTCTTCTTAGCTCTTTCTACTCTCTCACACATCCAATCTTCCTACCTTCTCCTCCTCCTCTTCCCAATTGTACACTCATGATACTACTCCTCCTTCCTTTGTATTCTACCGTCTGAGCTGGAGTCATTCTTTTTTCTATCCAATTCTTCTCTGCCTCTCCCACCCGTCCCCTCCATTTTGACACTTTGCCGACGCCCACCTCCGCATCATGTCCGCTAGCAAGAATGACGCTTCCACCTCTGGTGAGCTTTTTCCGTCTCCACCCACTCCCACCGCCTCGGCGATCCATTTTGCCTCCATCTGGTCACCTCAATCGCAATTAAAACACACGCTTGTGTCGCGTGCTCAACTTGAAGTGGTGTAATGACTGACAAACAATGTTCAGAGGTAGCGAAGCCCGCCGCTTCGGAACAGCCCACCAACGGCCAGGGTTCCGAGAACGAGCAACCCGCGGAAAATGGTGACGGTCAACATGTCGACAGTATGCTCAATAGCTTCAATAATATTGCCCCATACCATAAACTCACATGGCGCCAGATGTCTTCCAATTGACCATCAAGCTCCCCCATGAGCCCTTCACAACGACCACTATGGTACGTTCCTTGTCTCCGAATTGAAAACGGGAAGGAGGGTTGCACACGGTACAATATCTAACATTACACATAGGTCTCGACACAAGAGCAAGTGCAGGACCTCCGCCAGTCTATCATCGAGCAGCCGCAGACCTTCCAGTACTCTTGCTTCCATCTCGAACACAATGGGCAGCGCATCAACGACTTCGTCGAGCTCTCGGACGTTCCCGACCTCAAACCTGATTCCGAGTTGACCCTTGTGGAGGATCCATACACAGAGAAGGAGGCACGAATGCACGTCATCCGCGTTCGAGAATTGGTTGGAGCTGCTGGCGATCGCACCGATGCGCTGCAGGGTATCTCCGCCGGTTTGTCCCTCCATGATACTATTGGAGCCGAGACCAGCGAACCCACCCAGTCGCCGCTGTCCGAGTACGACTTCAAGGCACCGGGGGTTGTCAAGACTCTCCTGCCACCTACACAAGAGCCTGCTCCCAAGACCGTTAGGTCGATCGCTGTTTCCTCATGGAATCCGCCACCATATAACCTTCGACAGAAGGGACATCTTCTCTACCTGGTAGTCACCACGGCCGAGAATGACCAGTACCAGATCACCGCCCATGTCGGTGGGTTCTTCGTCAACAAGTCTTCCAACCAAAAGTTCGATCCTTTCCCCCGCCAGGCGCCCAGGGATCATTCTGCACACTCCCTGCTCAATGTTCTCTCCCAAATCTCTCCATCATTCGATTCAGCATTCCAGTCATTGCTTGAGCACAATGCTAAGAAGGACCTTCTTACCATCTTCCAGCTTTCCAACGCCATTCCCGCCAACCCTTGGGTGGTCCCTGCCTCCACCGTATCTCCCTCCGCACACCAGGCGGATTTGGGACGGACGCAGGAGACATATTTGATCTCCGGTGTGGATAGCACTGAGACATTACGTGACTGGAACGAGGAGTTCCAATCCACCAGGGAAATGCAAAAGGAGGCAGTCCAGGATCGTGTCTTCCGGGAACGACTCACCTCGAAACTCTTCGCTGATTACAACGATGCTGCCACTCGCGGTGCCATGCTTGTGGCTCGGGGCGAGATTGCTCCTCTCAACCCCACTGAGGCCAAGGATGCACAGATCTTCGTGTACAACAACATCTTCTACTCCTTTGGCGCTGATGGCGTGGGTACTTTCGGCACTGAGGGTGGTGATGAGGCTGCCCGTGTCGCCGTCGGTAAAGATGTTGTGGGTGTCCGCGCTGTGAACAACCTTGATATCCCTGGCCTCTTCACTTCCGGTACCGTTGTTGTTGACTACCTTGGCAAGCGTATCGTCGGTCAAAGCATCGTTCCGGGTATCTTCAAGCAGCGTGACCCTGGTGAGCACCAGATTGACTATGGCGCAGTCGAGGGCAAGGAGATCGTTGCAGACGACAAGTCATTCATCCCGCTGTTCGAGCAATTGTCGAAGGCGTTGCGTGTCAAGAAGCATCCTGTGTGGGACAAGGACAATGTCCGCCACGAGTTGGAGGGCAGTGTCGAGACCAAGGGTCTGATCGGTACCGATGGAAGACGCTATGCTCTGGACCTGTACCGACTCACCCCCTTGGACGTGGCCTGGATCGAGGAGCACTGGAGCGAACCATCCAAGGAGGGAGAGCCTAAGTCTGGAGACAAGGATTATCCCCACAGGATGGCGACTCTCCGCCCTGAATTGGTCGAGTCTTACTGGCGAGTGAAGCTGCGAGAGTACGTTAACAACGAGCTTGCCAGGAAGAAGGCAGAGAAGGAGAAGGCAAAGGAGGAGGAAAGCGATTCTGATGACTCTGAGGAGAGTTCAGATGAGGATTCCGAGGAGGACTCGGACGAGGACTCTGACGAGGAATCTGATGAGGAAGAGAAGAAAGAGAAGGAGGCGAAGAAGGAGAAAAAGAGGAAGGAGAAGGAGGCGAAGAAGGCTGCCGAAGCCGCCGAGCAAGATCGTGTGGATGTTTCCGGCTTCCAGTTCGCCTTGAACCCTGACGTTTTCTCCGGGCAACAGCCCCAATCTGACGAGGACAAGGCAGCATGGGCTAAGGATGAGGCCGAAGTGCGAGCTGCCTGTGCTCATCTCTTGACCGACATTGTTCCCAAGCTGATTCAGGAACTCAAGGACGGCGAGGTTGGATTCCCAATGGATGGCCAGTCTTTGAGCTCTTTGCTCCACAAGCGTGGTGTCAACCTTCGATACCTCGGAAAGATCGCCGAGCTCTCCGATAAGGAGGATCCTCGTCTCCAAGCATTGAAGCGTCTCGTAGTCCAAGAGATGATTGCTCGCGGCTACAAGCATTTCGCAAACTCAAAGTTGCGCAACGTTGCTCCGCCATTTGCTGCTGCCGCCAACGCCCATCTCCTTAACTGCTTGCTCGGAGGGGAGGTCAGCGCCAAACCTGTCGCTGAGATCGACTCGACCCTGAGATCCATCTACCCCGAGGTCGACTTCAGCTTCGAGAAGCTGACTCCGGAGACCTTGAGGAAGGAAGTCAAGGCTCAGGTTGCCCTTCGCTACCGCTACAACCTTGGTGAGACATGGGTTGAGCCTGGCAAGCAGCTTCAACTTCTCCGTGAGGTTTCTCTCAAGCTGGGTCTGCAGTTGGAGGCCAAGAGCTATGCATTCACCAAGGAGGCTCTAGCAGCTAGCGGCGCTGTCAACGGCACTGCCGCCCCTGCTCCCGCAAGCAACACCAACACCAACGGCAACACTTCTGGTGGTAGCAAGAAGAAGGGCAAGAAGAGCTCCCCTGCACGCGCCGAGAGTCCTGTCGCCCCTCTTGCGGTCCAGACCTTCCACGCCGATGACATCCTCAACATCGTTCCTGTTGTCAAGGAAGCTTCTCCTAGGAGCTTACTCGCTGAGGAGGCGTTGGAAGCTGGCCGCCTATCTGTCGGTCAGGACCAGAAGGAGCTTGGCCAGGAGTTGCTTCTGGAATCTCTTTCATTGCACGAGCAGATCTACGGCGTTCTCCACCCTGAGGTAGCCCGTGCATACCACACCTTGTCCAACATGCTCTATAACTTGGATGATAAGGCCGCGGCTGTCGAGCTAGCACACAAGGCTGTCATTGTCTCGGAGCGAACTCTTGGTGTTGACCACACAGACACCGTCTTGAGCTATCTTAACCTTGGACTTTTCGAACATGCCAACGGCAACACACAAGGAGCCTTGACTTACGTGCGCCACGCCCTTGAACTTTGGAAGATCATCTACGGTCCTGACCATCCGGACTCGATCACCACTATCAACAATGCTGCCGTCATGCTCCAGTCGATGAAGCTGTACCACGAATCGCGAGTGTGGTTCGAAGCCTCTCTCGCCATCTGCGAGGAGGTCTCTGGCAAGAACTCCATCAACACCGCCACCCTTCTGTTCCAGCTTTCCCAAGCTTTGGCTCTGGACAAGGATATGCGTGCTGCCGTCAACCGCATGCGCGAGTCTTACAACATCTTCAAGGAGGTTCTTGGAGCCGAAGACCGTAACACCAAGGAGGCCGAGCATTGGTTGGAGCAGCTTACCCAGAGCGCTGTCAGCCAGGCGAAGCAGCTGCAGGATATCCAGAAGGGTCGTTTGCGCCGTGTGCAGATTGGCCGGACCGGACTACGACCACAGGCTCCCGTTGGACAGACTGCCGCGGAGGTTACAACGACATCACGTACGCGACCTGGTACTGGCGGCGTTGACCAGCGCAGCATCGATGAGCTCCTTAAATATATCGAAGGAGGTGACACTCCTAAGAAGAGCACCAAGAAGGGCCCCACGAACCCTAAGAGACGGACACAGAAAGCCAACTAGGTCCAACAACTTCCTAATCATTTCAACTGATCAAACAAATCATAGTCTTACGAGACGAACTAGATTTTGTTGATCTCATTACGGCCGTAGATGAAAAAAGAATGTGGGTAAAAGGTATCGCGGTTGTACACTACTTATGACGTTACTCTCTTTCGCGATGATGATGGATTTCCTTCTGACGCTTCGAATCTTGTATATGCATTGTCATCTCCAATCATCATTTATTTGGTGGAAAAATCTGGTTTGGTCATTTCTATCTTTTCTTGTTTTCATCACGTCTTTTTTCTTCCCATTGCATGACAACTGTGGACCATGCGTTTAGGAGAGCTTGCATACTCTTTACAAACGAAAAGCATGGAGTCGAGGGTCTGTAACTGGTTGGCTGGCCTTTGTTCTTTCTATATTAGCGGTGCCTTCCTTCACGATTATTAGATTATGGTCTGGTGGGTGGTGGGTTGGTTGGTGGGTTGATCGGTCTGGGGGTTGGGCAAGCATGGATGGGACGGGGTGCGGTGGGCAAAAACAAAAAAGTGATAGAACAGGTCTTCACCTGTGTGTACCAAAACAAAAGAACTTCCCCTCTTCTCAACCATTGCATGCTTTCAAGAAATCTATGATAATTTGACATAACTAAGGGACATTGAGATCCGAAAACTCTTTAGGTTCTGGACGGGTGACGTTGACTGTGGTTCAAATATTAGTTCCAGAACGGGACTAGCCCACAACGAAAAGACCGAAAAGAGCGAACACATCATACACTGACCAAGAACACACTGCTCCAGTGCTGGATTTTGAGATCATACCAAATAGTCCATATTATTACAAAAAAGAAGAAGTCTTCAGTTGAATCTTCTGACAGAATCCACGATTCGACTATCCATCTATGCAAACTCAATCGAGAACAGCTACCACGAACAATGGTCCTATGCTCGGCTCGGACAATTCCGAATACACCGAGCAAGGCGCACCGTGCTATAATCTTACGACCGAGCATATCCCAACGTCGTGACGCATTTTTCCTCCTCCCATTGTCAGAAATCCAACAAACAATTCATTCTCGTACTCTCAAGCTATCAAGGAAGAGAGACACGAAGGTTTCGGATCAAGTCAATTGAAAGCACGAAGGTCTCAAAACATCGACATATCAATTCTCGACCCTTACGTTTTACATCCCATTTGGGAGCGATCACCAACAATCGACTGTCCCCAAAATGGAAACCCAACAACAGCAACAGCAACAACAGCCACTACCACCGATACAAGTCCAAGTAACGGACTCAAACCGCCCCACGAAGCGTCGGCGCCCAGCGCTGTCGTGCGTGGAATGTCGCAGGCGGAAGGTGAAGTGCGATCGCCAGCGGCCGTGCGGGCCATGCGTGAGGACTAAGTCGGAGAGCTGTACGTATAAGACTTTGCCTCCTAAGCGCGGTGAGGTGAGCGGTAATAGGGAGGCGTGTGCTGGATCGGCTGGGGACGAAGGGGTAGATATGTTCTCGGGGGGTGGAGGTCACGGTGTTCGGTCTTTTGGGGGGCTAGGACCGAGGGAATTGGATGGCACGGTGAATTCGTATACGGTGCAGGATGGTGATGGTGCCTCGATGCTTGGAAGAGGGGATGGGGGTTTCGCGAGCCAACCAGCTTCTTCGTCATTGCCGTTACCTGCAGATGCTTTGAACATGCAAGCATTGGCGGATAAGATTAGGGACTTGGAAGGCAAGTTGCATAGTCTGACCAACAGTCCTCCTCCTTCTACTACTACCACCACTACTACTGCCGGGGTAAAGAGTGGAGAGAGGATGGCAACGGCCTTCTCGTCACACCACCCCACTCCCGTAACTCCGAACGGACAATTCGTCAAATCGAAGTTCTTTGGCGAGAGCCATTGGGTCAACTGCATTGAGCCTGTAAGTAACTATTACCTGATCTGTCGCCGGATTCGGGATGACAAACTAACGTCAGTGATAAGTATGAAGCGTTGGGTAAGTCCTTCACGAATGTCAACCCGCAAAGCAATAGGACTGAAGTCAACACATCGTCTGAACTATACTACGCCCTGCTGGAGTGTAAAAGGCTTGCCCGTCTGATCAAAGGCGCAAGGCTGGCTGTCGTTCAACCTTCAGTGTCGGACCTCCCTTCCACGCTGCCCCCAAAGGATGTGTGTGACAAGCTCGTCAAGGGATATCTCCGGACCTTCGAATCCATCTTCAGAGTTCTCCACATCCCCACCTTCCTCGAAGAGTATGAAAAGTTCTGGGAGGATAGGTCTGCCGCGAAGCCTTCCGTGTTGATGAAGGTCATCCTTGTCTGTGCCATCGGCGTACCGTTCTACACTGGCGAAGACAAAGGACGCCTCCGCGCAGCCTGCACCAAATGGATCCAGGCAGCTGAGGGATGGCTCAACGGGCCGCACGGCAAATCTAGATTGAACCTCACGGGCGTCCAGATTCACATTCTGCTCCTCCAGGCGAGGCAGATGTGCTGTGTAGACGGCGACCTGATCTGGATATCTGCGGGTGCACTGCTGCGCAGCGCGATGCATCTGGGCCTGCACCGCGAACCGACGCAGTTCCCGAAGATATCGGCATTTCATGTCGAGATGAGACGAAGGCTCTGGGCCACCATTCTAGAGCTCACGGTGCAGATGAGTTTGGACATCGGCATGCCGCCAACCCTCTCGGAGGATGACTACGACACTTTGCCGCCGAGCAACCTCAACGATGATCAGATGGACGACACCACGACTGAACTTCCGGCGACGCATCCCTGGACAACGGGTATCTGTACGGACACGACTCTGCAGCTCATGCTACTTGACTCCTTACCTCTACGGCTGCGGATAACCCGTCGGATTAACAGTATCCGCACGCAGCTTTCATACGCAGAGACGCTCCGCCTGGGAACAACACTGATGAATATATGCCGTTCGAACCTCGAGCATCTCCTATCCCTTCAAGCCGCCATACTAACGGACTCTTCGACATCAAGACCATCGCCTTTCACAATTAAGCTCATCGATATATTCGTCCGTCGCTTCGTCCTCGCTCTCCATAGACCTTTCTTCGGCCGCGCGGTAGACGAGCCAGAGTACCACTACTCCCGAAAGATATGTCTAGATACCTCTTTCATGCTCATAGCGCCACCATCCGCAGCACCAGCACCAGCACCCTCTTCCGTACCTTCCCATCCCCGAACGGCCGACGAGGTAGGGAATGTAGAAGAAGAAGGTCGCGACGACTACACCAACCACCTTCACCACGCCGTCGGTTTCCAAAAATGGTGCCTACTCTACAGCATCTCGACCATCTACCTCGAAATGGTAAACCTCATCCACGAATTTCAATCCTCTCCCTATCCTCCAGCCACCACTTCGTCCTCCATACTCACCACGTCCGCGTCCTCGCCCTCGCCAACAGGCGTACCGGAGCAGATCCGCACCCTCCTCTCGCACATCCGCGCCTCGTCGTCCCTCACGCTGTCTCGCGTCGCGAACGGCGAGACGAACGCGAAGGGCGCCGTCTTCTGCGCGTGCAGCGTCGCGAGGATCGAGGGGTTGATGGCGGGGAAGTCGGAGGCGGAGATCGATGGGGAGGTGTTGAGGGCTGCGAGGTTGGCGATCGCGGAGTGCGATGCTGCGATGAGGAGGGCGTTCGTCGAGGAGGGGGGTGTGCTGGAGAAGGGGAAGGGGGAAGACGGGGGAGAAGGACATACGGGGGAGGAGATTGGCGTGGGGGAAGGAGGTGGTGTTGGGTTGGTTGGGATGGGGCGTGAGGGGGAAGGTGTTGGTGGTGGGGATGGTGTGGAAGGAGGGTTCGAGGACTTGGTTAGGGTGGAGGATATGGATTGGGAGACTCTCATGCAGGACGAGAGTCTCGACTTCGGCTTCGGCTTCGAGACGAGTCCGCAAGGGCGTTGGATCTCGTCGCCGACGGCGCCGAGGGGCTGGAATGATGGTATTCCTTGGGGCGGATGGGACTGAGTGGACGAGAGCTGGGGGCTCGAATTAAGGGAGCATGGTTTTTAGATCGATGCTGTTTCGATTCACGTATCTTTGTTTGGATAGGTCACTGTACAATACGCGGCTATTCTCCATGTGCATTTAGACTATACATGGACGGGCTCACCACTTACTTGAAGAAACCTGGCATATTTCCAATGCTGACATAGATCAATCTACTTTAGGAAATTGTCACGACATGAAGGAGTGATGTCTATGTTTATCGTAAAGTACGTATTCGCTGCCATCGTTCTTATGGTATTTGATGAAGTGTAGTCGATGTGAAGAGTCCTGTGATACTTTGACAACCGAGTATCTCATCTGTATCTTGTAGTGAATATGCCGAAAGGAACATCCGAATCGAACATATTGAAAAGACGGGGCGATAGAAAACAAGTTCTTTCCGTCCAGCTGAGACCATCAATGAAGCTATCTCACCTCACTAGTTCATGATATGAGGAGGTATTGCGGAGACGTCCACCTAGTCCAACTGATATGTCAGGCCTCCCACATCTCCAAATATGTCTCAGTAATTAGTCGGAGTAGCCTAGCAAGGTTCTCCAGGCAATAAACCGGAGTAGTAGTGCAACATAGATTTTTCGTCCATCCCCAGTAGCTAGTTAGTGACCTGATGGCGTGAATTCCATAGCAGAATTGGACTTGCGCCAACTCCGTGGGGTTGTCTGCGTGGGGGGAAGACATCGATGCGAGCTTAACTCCGTCCTATGTTCATTTGATGAGAAATTGATAGTTCAGAATGACGATTCATTGCGCCCGCTACTAGTTAGGCTTACTTGTGAGTTGTTCGACGAGCCAAAGTACTGAGTACTTGACTTGGAGAATGAATGCGATCAGTGTGGTTGACGGGCCAGTATAGAACAACTTCCAGGATACTTTCATTGATTCACGTTCAAAACCATGACCAAATGCGGCTCTTTCTCGGCTGTCTTACTATAACTTAGACATGCTCTATGGATTTTGCAATGTAAAACGACCAGGAGGTCACACGAGTCGTTTGTGCAATCGATGCGTAGCGTTTCTCCCGGTATCGTGGTCTGCGTTCAAGATTGGGCGCGAAAATGAATCGGATGTAAACACTTCAGGAACATCATTGGCCACTATGACTACCAAAAACCTCAACGACATGCACTTGCATGTTTCATGCGGGAAAAAAGCTCTCCCGACAACAATGGTCGGCGCACTAAGCATCCTGGATTAGGTTCCATCCGACGTTGGTAGTTGGACTCCAGAGACTGGGCGTGGGATGAGCGTGGGGTATCTGAGTAATGCTGGGGCCCATGGTCCTCCACTTGCACGAGAGACGGTGCGAAACTTGAAGTAAGAAGATGCACTTTTCACTAGTCCACGATCCACTTACTACCGCAGAGCCGCTTCGTACTCACCGCCAGCCCCAGCCTAAGTCGTATACTCCAAGTAATCGAATGCTTCTGGATCAAAGCTAGAAGGTCACAATACTCTTCGTGATATTGCTATTACTCGTACCTCGTATGTATGCGATGATATCTAAGGCCGCAAAGGTCACAATAGAGTTTGTCAACGATTGCTAGTTGCAGCGAAATGATCGTCGCTCTCGCCACGAAAGTGTTGGAGTCGAAATATGGTTGGCTGTGAGCAACCTGATTGGCCTAGCCAGAGCGTGCTAGCACCAGATTAGGCTGGGGATGTGATTGAGAGATGAAAATTTCAACACATCCACTCGTGCCACTCCAAGTCCAACCCCAAGGGGTCCCCTCGGACTCTCTCCGTCGAATTCTTAAGTTCCGAGGAATTCCCACGGGGTCGATGCAATTTTGGGGTAAGCCGCCAGCAAGACACACGGCATAGGCCGTGCGGCTCTTCAGACCCATGAATGGGGGTTACAGACGCCGATACTGACCGCAACGATGCCCAAATTAGTCCAACAGCCGATTAGATGTGCCGCTTTCGCAGTTGTGTTGTTCAACTGCTTGTTCTAACTCCTAAGCCATCATCACCAGGAAATAGTAATCGTTCTGCGCAACAGGGGAGTAGCCAAGTGCAAAATGCGAAGGACAAAGTCGTTATTCCCCGCAGTGATCGACACGTGACATGGCCGACGTCCCGTATCAAGCATAAAATCCGGCCTTGGCTGTCATCATCCCAAAGTCTTGCTCAACGCCATGCAGCCCTCCCTCTAGGGTCGCCTCAACACTGACGTACCCACATCGTGCGTGACGGATGTGGGAGCCGGTATGGAGAGCCACCGAAGATCACACCGAGTAACTGGCGTAGCGCGACCATGTTGCAATACTCCAGATCCTGGCAAACTGGGGTTGCAACGCAGATGAATTAAATGATATATGTTCACCACCCTCCCCCATACTTTTTGTTTACCCCGAACATTTCGTCTGTCCTTTGCATTTCTTCAAGATGGCGGACAATATTTCCCATCGCGATCCTTCTATCGACAAGGGCCAGGAAATTTCCGAGTTTGCAAAGGGGGATAATCATGTCTCTCGCATGGATCCTGAACGTCGCAAGAAGGTTGAAAAATCCCTCAAGCGCAAACTGGACGCAAGATGTTCGTTGTTCGTCGTTATATACATTCTCAACTATCTCGATCGAAACAACATCGCTGCTGCCCGCCTCGGAGGTCTCGAGGAAGACTTGGGAATTAACAAGACGCAGTATGCGACATGTTTGAGTATCCGTAAGTCTCTACCCGATCAACTTGTAACAGCGTAATAGAATGAAGCTAACATACCATAGTCTATGTGTAAGTCAACTACCTCGATCGCAATTCCATTTTAGCTCTTTGCCATGCTCATGCATGACCCCTCATGCAAGAGACATATTCCTATAAGAAGCAATGCTGATTGAGTCTAGTGGTTACATTCTGATGCAGATCCCGAGTAACATGGTTATCAATCGGATATCCAGGCCCAGCCTTTATATCTCCGTCGCGATGCTGCTCTGGGGTGCAATCTCCACGCTTTCCGGAAACGTCCACAACTTCGGTGGCATGGTCGCAATCCGATTCTGCATTGGATTTGTCGAGGCTGCTTTCCTACCTGGTGCCTTGTTGATCCTGTCCAAATGGTACACCCGACGGGAACTTACCACTAGGAACGCCATCCTGTTCTGTGGTAATCTTATCTCTAACGCTTTCTCCTCGCTCGTAGGCGCTGGTGTTCTCTCCAATATGGAGGGCACTCTCGGACACCGCGCTTGGCGATGGCTTTACTGGATTGAGGGCGCCGCTACTATGTTCATTGCTATTTTGGCCGCATTTGTCCTTCCTGATCTTCCCCATAACACTCGCGGATTTACTGAAGAAGAGCGCCAGGTCGCTGTTCTCAGAATGACTGAGGATGTTGGAGAAGCTGACGAGGACTCTGCCGAACAATCCCCATACGCTGGCTTGATTATGGCAGTCAAGGACGTGAAGATTTACATCATGATGATCACCTTCACCGCATACGTTGTTGGACTGTCTTTCAACGCTTTCTTTCCAACCCTCACTGGCACCCTGGGTTTTGCGCACATTCCCACTCTCCTCATGTCCGCTCCCCCGTGGGCTTTCAGCTGTTTGGTTTCTCTCATCAACGCCTGGCATGCTGATCGAACTGAGGAGCGTTTCTGGCACATCGTTGGCCCAATTCTATTCGGTCTTGTCGGGTTCATCATCAGCATGTCAACTGAGATTGTTGCGGCGCGCTATGTTGCTCTCTTCCTGCAAGCATCTGCCTACGCTGGCTTCATTGTCTTCTACTCTTGGATCTCCAGCTCCTTCCCCCGCCCTCCTGCTAAGCGTGCTGTCGCAATTGCCATGATCAACGCTTTCTCCCAGCTTGGAAACATTGCTGGATCATACGTCTGGAATCTTCCCGAGAACGGTTACCGCAAGAGCTACGGTATTGTTACCGCCATGTTTGGAGTTACGATTGCAGGATGCTACATCTTCAAGAGGTTCCTCATGAACCTCAACAAGAAGATTGACGCTGGCGAGAGTGCTTGGGATGTTCATGGCGACGTCGCTGAGCAGACCGCCAGGACCGAGGGTGTTACCATCGAAGAGGGCACAAAGCTCCAACGAGGATTCAGGTATTTGGTTTAAGCGAAGGCGCGAAACATTTGACGGCGGAGGAAATAACGAACATGACACTTTTATTTCCTTTGCAAGCGGTTCTTGTAAATACTTTAAGCTTTTCATCGGCATACAGCCACTGGTCTTGGATTCTTGTTCGCATTTCTTGGCTGCAGGCAGTGCAAACTTAGCTTGCTTGTTACCCAAGACGAAGTGGCATGGTCGAAGACTTTGCGTCTTCCATTGAATTCGGCCCTTTTCAGTACATGCATAATTTGAATCCTTACCACACGACTAAGAAATCATAAACTGGGTCAATATGCGGTATATATGACAAGAAATCATATGAATAAGACTGAATCATTTGCGCAAACTTGCTCTCTCATCAATGTCATGCATCTTTCTCTAGATTGACACAATTCACAGTCGCGAAGCAGCGCATTTCGGAACCTCCGACCCTTCAGTGTACAGCACGCTCTTGTTATCTTCCTGTGTCGAAGCCGCAATATCCAGACCCGGATTACCCAGGAAGAAATTCACGGGCTTCAGCGCCACCATCATCTTCTCGCTGGGCATGACCGGCCAATCCTCAATCCTTGGGTTATGGGTTGAACCGAACGAGTGCCAGATGACAACATCTTCGTTCCTAACCGAAGGTGCCTTCCCAGATGCGGCCCGGTGTTTGATGGCGGATGCAATGCCCTCCCCACCCATGGATTGCATTGTGTATTTCCCCGAAGGAAAGAACTCGTCTTCCCTGTACTTCGTCACCCACACCGCGTGCTGGCCGTATTCAGAGCGCTTTGCATGGAAAGAGTCCTTGTTCGCTAGCAGCATCTGGCTGTAGAATGGCATAAGTTTGAATCCCACTGGCGTGTTCGTGATCGGATTAATTTTGTCCTCATTCACGAATTTGAATGTTCGATTCTTGGTGAAGTCAAGATCGAACCCACCCTCGTGTGCGACGTACTTGCTCTTCGTTTGGTACCCCACACCGAAGGGATTATGCACGTTGGGGTCTCCGAAGGGCATTGGTTCCGACTCCTCTATAACGACTGAGTTCTTCTGGCCATCTATCGACGGATCGATGCGAAGACAGAAGATGTGCTGGTGGTAAGGTGCAAGTACACCTGGAGCGACTCTCGTCCCATAGGGTATGGTTGCCTTTTCGTCAAAGTCCATAGGAACCGTTGAAAGGATGCCGGTGGCGCGCACCTCATAAGAGATGGAAGCGTCTTGTCCGAAATGGAACGCGAATATGTATTCGTAGTTGCTGACTGTGATTATGGTCTGCAGCACCAGTATTCGAGACCGCGTTACTACAGCATTCCCGGTGCGGAAGTTGGTGTGTTTCCACAGAATCCCGTCATCTTGCTCATGGCAGCAGATGACATTCGGCAACTTCAATGGCTCGCCGGACTTGGTATTATGCCAACCATCGAAATATTTGATGGTACCTGGGGAGTCAAAATTAGTCGATCCAGAAGAACTCTCCGGGTTGAAAGTCTTACCTAGACAATCACAGCCAAGTTTCAAATTGTTCGCATTCAGCCCTGCACCATCATTACCAAGATCGAAGGCTGCCTTTCTCGGGTAGGGCACCCTGGGATCACCATATGGCACAAACATCTCAGCCAGGGAAAGGCGATAGAATAAACTCCGATCATCGTAACGAATATCATGAAGAGTGAGGCCTTCGCGATAGTTGAAACCAACCCTGAATGACCACTTCTCCCATTCGACAAGATTTCCTCGAGTTTTGAAGGACGGCCCATCTGGTTGGATAACCCGATACGGCTTGGTTGTCGTTCTGGGGCTAGGCCTAAGATCCGGATGATATTCGCTTGATGTTGTAGAATGGATCTTCCGTCGATCGAAAGGGCGTGACTCAGTGTGGATTCTCTCGTCAGGTGAGCACGGAAGTTTATAAACTCTAGTGACCTGCAGCTCTTCTGATACTTCTGCGCAGATCTCTATCGGGTATGCATAGTAATTTGCATCTTGATGCTCAACGAGTCGAAGGTAAAACCAACACTAGCTACCAGGTTAGATACGGTCATGGGCATGCATGGTGCTTACATGCCATAGTGATGCGCTTGGACATATCGTTCATTCCATCCGTAGCATATGCCCAGGGTTCAACGATGACTGAGGCACCAGCAGGAAGGTCGAGCTTCTTGATTTCATCCTGTATCTCTTGGTTGGCCATGCAGGCCTTCTCTACGTCATTCATGTAGGAGGAGTCGATGTAGGAATGCTTTCCTTCTAGTAATTGCTGCTTGCTGATAGATCCATGGCCAAGGTCGATATGAAGTTCAAACAGTGCACTTGCACCGGAAGTAGTCTTGGTTACAATTTCGACTCGAGCAATTCTCGCTGGGATGTTGTGAAAAGGCTGCTTAGCATGTTCTAGGTCGAGGAATTTGATCATTTCTTCTTTCGGAGGTTCTTTCAATGTAATGACTCTGAAGTTGATGTCTTGCCCTGCGAACTTTGATCGCACTACTTGAGCGGCCTTGAAGAGGCAGATTAACGATAAGTTCGTGATAGTGTACTTCATTGATAAGCTACCTTTTCGATCTCTTTCGGCACAAGCGGATCAAATGGGTGCGGGCTTGCCGGCATTGTGAAATAGTTGCAGAATGTTGACTGGGTAGAAGAGCTAGTTGATGATATGAACAATTGTCCACTTAGTCGGTGTTCTGAAGACTGGGAGTGAAGGCGTCTTTTGTATCCGAGGTCGACCTGGATTGTATTCCACAACGCTAAAGGAGTGTTGATAACAACGACTAGCCGTCCCGTTTGAATGCACGAATTCCGTGGAAGATTCTGTTTGCCGGAAAAAGGGCAGGGCGAAAGCGAAAAGCAGTGTGAAAACACGGTGTAATGTCGCGTATGCCTGCCTTTGGAGGTGTTGATTGTCGGGCTTACGTCAAGGGCGGGGGACGTACAACCTCCAAAGGTTAAGCGGCTCACGATAGTGTATTGCCGAGCATACCATTAGCTATGGACCATGATTCTTACACTTTAAAGGTAAAGGATAAAAAATTCGGATTAATGATGAACACGCGATCGAGACTGTTCACAGTCTTCGAGTCCGACGACTGAATGAACCTAAAACTAAACAGACGATGCCATTCCGATCAATCGTACGACGCAATGAAATTGACTTGGACTCGCTGTTGTATCGTACATTTTCCACGAAAATGATGGCCATGATTACTAAAGGACTGTTCATTTTAAGTCCTCCATAGTTTGAAATATATCCAAGTTTCAAATGCTGCTACAGTCTTCACTCCAAACTGGCCCTGTTAATGCTTGACGACTTTGAAAGCAGAAAGATGCAAAACATTGCCTATACGCCGCAAAGAGTTGCAGTACGCTCCAATTCCTTTTTCTGAAAGCAAGGCATAATGAGAGGCTGATTTTCTGGGATAAATTCAACAAGCTGAAAGCTCTCGGATCTAATGTGAAGGTGTGACTGGAACGGTGTCGTCCGGGTTGCTTCCTGAATTTCTCCAGGACCACAAGATATGAGTGTCATTTGGTCAAGTTAGTCTACTCACGCTGAACCAACAATTCAATCTTAGGCTCATTGAAGGCGGAGTAAGTCTAGCGCCCAGTAGTAGAAGAGACATCCTTGAGGAGAATTAGTCGTGTCATCTGTCATCGGATGATCGCTCGAAGCCAGCACGCCCGAGCATACATCACGATTGTATATTCCATCCGATTCAGTTGGTTGTCTCGAATTGGCTGCGACAATGCTGTGATGGGCGACGCACAACGCCCAATTACAGCACGATGCAGTGCTTCTGTGAGGGCTCTCGTTTTCTCTCTTGGACATCCATAAGACTTTGCAAATATTCTGCCTTGCTAGACCCAAACACTTCTGTCAGAATGGACTGAACAGTGATATCGGGATAATCGTGATATAAAACACAGGGCCTACGCGCGCCAGGCTGGACAAACAATATGCAGGCGTGATACCATGTATCGTCAAAGGGTTTAACATTTCCAGGTTCATCGACATACATCAGCCAACACAGGAACAACACCCAAGCTGTAGGTCTATCCTCAATGAAGTCCATAGTCTGATTCGGATCTGCTCCGTGCTCAAGCAATACCTGGACCATTTCAACATCAAGGAACTTGATTTCATCTCCTATGAAACCTCTACTAGGTGGGAAAGGATGAACCGCATAGTGCAGTAGAGGTCTCCTGCACTTGTTCATATTACTTGGATCCTCTTCTAACTTAGATCGCACGTAAAAGACCAAGTGCGACTCAACTGCGAGAGCAAGGAAATTGTAGTTCCCATCTTTAGGCCAGGTATCATTGGTCGAACTCAATCGATAATAACTTGTCCAGTGAAATTCAAAATGACGTGCATGATATGTATTGACCCGGTCGGCCTCGTCTAGCACTGCCACCAGGATTCTGATGGCAGTACTGCTTGTATTCTTCGCAGCCTCCTGTGCATAATTTAGAAGCCTCAATGTCAGTGACATGGCATGATTCATGGAATTTGTATCGCCATGGGAAACTCTGTGAAAAGACTTCAGCATTGCCAACGAGATCTTGCAGAGTGACAGTGCTGGACTGAAATCATGCTTCGAATTTGCTTTCAGCTCCTCATAGTGGTCTTGTAGGAACTCTAGGACCGTTCGATGCAGGAAGTTCACTGAGTGACTCAAGAACAATGGATGAGGCTTGCTGTCAACAACCAGAAGATCGCTGCACCTGTTCTGTATGCGAGTGGACCAGGCCTGATACTTGGCTTGTATTTCACCTTCGTTGATAGGCTCAATAGGGGCATTTAGGGCGTAATTAGGATCCAATGACTCTTTTTCTAGAAGGAAGAATGCGTACAGAGGTAACGGATCACGCTGATGGGTGGTTATCAGGAAGATATGAGACATCTCTTGTATGTAAGGCGGCCGAACGCGCTGAAGCATTCGTTTGAAGTACGCGTCCAAGTTGGAAGGAAATCGATGTACTATCTCAACAAGTTTCTGTGTCTCCTCATACCCGTTGATGGCCATCTTCAATTCGTTTGTGACTAGAAAGACCCATAGCCACACTCCCTGGGCGAGGTCGGCAATTGTGCTTATTATCTTGCCGCATTCTGGGTCTGAACGTTCCATATCTTGGAATCGGTCCGTATCGTAGAGCATGCTTTGAGCATGTCGAGTCATGTCTGCCTTGGTGAAGATGGCAATATCGAAGTTTCGTGATTGATTCTGGAAGAATTTGTCGAATATAGTCCTGGGCCGCGTGGAGGCACAGATCTTGATGTTCCTCGATATGGACAGAAACTTCAACACTTCTACTAGTTCTTCTTCAGGTCCGCTATATTCGTCCAGACCATCGATAAAGAAACAGAACTTGACTGGAATTTTGGTCTGAACTCCAACAAGTTCAAAAGTGGCTTTCAACTCTTGCATCGACCAATCCTCATGATCGAGACGATCGGGGCAAACATCGTGAGTCAATTGGGGCGCTGTCTTGAGGATCTGATAAAGCAGTGATTGTAAGAGCCCAGCGTGACTCCTCTGCAATTCAAAGCCTTGGTTCCAAAAGTAAAACTCGGCTATGCAAAGTCTTGCAGGCTTGGACCATTCCTTTAAATACGTCTTGGTACAGGCATTGCTGGCGATAAATTTGAGTAGCGTAGATTTGCCGCTGCCAGCCTACAAATGCTTTAGTATTATGTATACTGGTGATGTGTCCATATCTCTTACCCTGCCTTTGATACAATAGAAATTATCTCCTTCCGTGTCGCTTTCTAACCAGTCCCGAAATGTCGTTTCTGTAAACACCCATTCGTTTGACGCTTGATCTGCAACCGGAATTTCTTCCCACCGACGCCGTAACTCCTGACGATAAAGACTGCGAATGACATTGAGTTCTTTGGTTCGGCCACTAATCTCTTCCTGCAGCAGATCGAGCTTTTGCTTGATATTTGTGAGCTGTGCGGCATGGGAATCTTCTTCCCTCTTTTGGCTTCGTTCGATTGCATCAATGATTTCGCGTTGAATCAAATCCATCTTAGCCTCATGAGCAATTCCGGAGCAATTTTGCATTTGTTTGATGTCATTGAGTCTGGCCACAACCGTCGAATTATTTTCTCTACAACACAACAGTCAGCTAGCGGTATATTCATTGGCTTATTGTCCTATCATCCGACGGTGTTGGCATGTCTATAGGTCTGGAAGATTTTCTACCTTTGCATGATATGACCAATGTTGCTCTTTATTCTCTCATCCAGTTGGATCAGACGGTTTCGAAGGGAGTCGATATCATTCTGTCTCCAGAGATTCTGAGAAGCTATACGAAAGGCTTCTATGGTTCTCCATCGGTCTGGCCGCACCCTCAGTGACTCGATAGCTCTTTGCAGGTCTGTGACAAGCGCACTGCACTTTCCAGCCATCTCGATGATGTTGCGCTCCTGTGGACAGAGCTTACGACCTGAGTGCTCCAACTGCTTTGCCTGCTCACAATGCAGTTTGACATCTTCGATAATGTTTTTGAGCTCCTGAATTTCCGCGGTTGTGTCCTCTAAACTTTGGCGTATTTTTCGACTTCCAGAGACAACCTTGAAGCTGAAGTCTATGAAAGATATGAGGTTGCTCGTAAGACCCAGGATGGCCAAGGCTTCTGCCATGACAATTCGACCGTTGCAGTTGGTATCGTATCGATATACATACAGATGGAAAATGAAGGGGCTCAACCTTGGTGAGCCTCACGGTTCGAGCTCAGTAGCGAGGCATACCGCGGATTCTTTAGAGCATTTGGAAGGCTATGTAATCACGGTGTCAGCCTCTCTATAGGACAAAAGGAGGACCAGCGTTCGTAGGCCCTTCTTGAGAATATGAAATAGGCAAAGTTATGGCTTTGGGGCGTTTCATGGCGGCTAGCCGGGCGAAATGATTAGTCGGGCTGACAGAACATCGGCGCTCTCGGCCAATACGAATGCTCCAAGGCTGCAAGCTGCAAGCACTCAGCATCAGTACTACTGCCTCCCCTCATATATTGTGTTCATGTGTCCCCTCGGTCACCGTTTCAGTCAAGGCTGTCAGTTACCATCTCCGAAAAACTCAGGGTATCAGGTTACCTTCTGTCACCAACTACTGCGTACATCCAAAGTTTCGATGGTCCGCTGACTCGTCGTGCTCAAGTCGGAAAGCACAACGCATGCTACCACTGCCTTGTACCTGGATATCCTGGGGAACTGAAGAAACTACAGTGTCAGCAGCGACTTAGTGTTCATTTAAGCTCACCCTCAAAGTATTCACACACTTCCTCGTGAGGGCAACAAGGCTACTACCTTCATTTACCGCCGCAAAAGTATTCATGGATGAACACAGCATACCCGGATGGAAAAGTCCCCTCATAACATCAGATCATGTGGAAAACATCCAAGAAAGCCAGTTAGACGGTGAGACCATAGATGGCCAGACTCCCTCAAGGCAGCACGACAACGGATGCAACCGAACACCATTCCAGTTTCTTCGCAAGTTCGGAATCTTGCATCTCTCTTTTCTCCTGGTGGCACTCGGGGCAGGAATCGCAATAGGATCTACGATCGGTCGACGGCGCGTTCCTTTAGGACTGTACCTACTCTTCGCTGCAACAGCTACCCTTTGGGTCGTTCTCTCTAGTTACGCAACCTTCGCTGATGCGCGTCGCACATCAAGCCTTCCGCCCGAACGAACGGCTCTCTTGGGGCGCTTCAGAGGTCGCACATTTTTTGGACGGTTCAACACATTGTTCTGTCACTTGTTGATCATCGCGACTTTGATTGGAGCAGGTATCCCTCTGTGCATATCTGTACAGCACAACAAGTTGCCACTTGGGCTGCTGGTCGTTGAAACGTTCGGGATGATCGTCTGGGCGATATTCTCACGGCTGAATCAGGACCGCGAGGCTTCACAGGTGTAGCAATGCCTAGGCTGCCTCGAATCATAGAAGACGCAAAATCGATAGTTTGTCCAACAGTGAGCGCGACTTGTTTCGTCCCAACCAACCAGTCTGATAGAACTCATGATGAAGATTCAACGGGAAAAGGGTTCTAATTGTCCCAGTAACGAGACCGAACCAGCAAGGCACCGCTCAAGGCCAAGACACAAAGAAAACCGCATGACGCTTATCATCCGCGACATCGTTACTCCCGCTCTCTTATTCGCGAATTAAATCTCCCGATCGTTGGTACTTGGAGCACATCCTATGCTCTACAACGATGCTTGTCTTTTGGCCGGCCGGCCGCTGGGGAACGATTTGACGGAAGAATAACGGTGAAGAGGATTGTGGACACAGAAGTTGATAGGTGTGCCGAAGCACAACATTGAACATACGTGGGGACATTGTATGCCTACGGGAGCCATTAATGCATTAGTTATAGGTGTTTTGATGGGTTAGGATTCCTTGCTAGACAGTGACACTGTGAAGAGGGAGCCAAGTCCGAGAGCAGTTGAATCTATAATGCGTACCAGAGATCCTTCAGGGAAAATGTGTGATAGATCAGTGGGAGTTTTGCAGCTGAGGTTGTCAGAGGGATCGGTCACTCATTCTGCACGCGAAGAAGTAGATGTGTAAATGAATAGTATTGAAGTATTGAGAACAAAATGCAATATGGTATCGAGCAGAGGTAACGCCGTCGCTATAGAATATTCCCTAAAAAAAGAAGCAGATACTGCAGGTGAATTAGGAGTAATATGATGGGAGTTTAAGCAGCGCCCAGCGCTACCAGCCTGCTCTTCACATCTACTGGTCTCAGGCTCGAATTAATGATGACGCTTGAAATGGCCCCCATGCGTAGCACGCTGACGTAGCCTGGGGTGACCTCGTTCGCAAGTACTTCTACGCACTTCAAAACTTCATCTTTCGAGAGCGGTGTACGAATGGAACTTTGGATGGATTGTAGAAGTGCAGCCATGGAGAATGAAACTCTTCCACCCGGGCCCTTGGACGCGGCGAGAAGAGACAAGACACCCAGGACCTCCTCTGAGCGTTGCAAGGCAGCGCGACGTTGAAGCTCAGCGGGTGAGGGAGGGGTTGGGCCCGCTTTGGCTGCCTCCTGCTTTGCGAGGATGCGATCGAGGAGGTTTGATTTCCGGACAGATGCGAATTCGGTGATTTTGGGCTGGGCTGACTGTGTGTTCAGGATAGCTGGCTCATTCTCTTTCCCTGTTGATTCGCGGGACTTCTTTTGGCTACGTCCGTGTTGTTGAATGTCTTGAAATTCCCTCAATCGCTTGCGCCCCTTTTCGCGAAGAGGAGCAACGGCTGCTGCTGATGAGCATAGCGTAATTTCGGCTTGAGGAAGATGGGAGAGGAATTTCGAGATCGTGTTCTCGTCGACAAATGATTGGATCATGGTTTGCGTGGTACCGGCTTTCCGGGCTCGTGCTCGTCGCTTGGGCGTGGCAATGGGTCGAGGGCTTAGTTTGACAACGCGAGAGTCACTCCACACCCTCCACAAATGGTCCAAATTTTCCATGAACATCGCCTGAAGAGCATCCTCGTTCAATGCACCCATCGCACCCATTTTATAATCATCGCTGATCTCGAGACAGACCTTGTCTTGTGTGTAGTCTGAAAGGTAGAAGGGATTTCGATTGCCCGCTGGTCCGGCGCCTAGGACACCGACGCAGAGTCTGATGTCGTCGAAAGTGACTTTGCGTTTCTGCCAGATAGCAGAGATAGATGGAGCAAGTTCTCGCAGGTCGGCGGGTGTTGCAGTTCCATTGTGCGCATAGTATAGAGACAGAGCAGTGAGAAAGGAAGAATGTAGAGACAGGAGGTCTACAAGCTCAGCTGGAAGGGTAGCTGCAGCTGGGGCCATTGTAGCCGGTAGAATGGTAATATGAAGATTGAGGATAGAACTTGTAATCAATGTAAACTGAAATACCGGAGCTGAGAATGGAAGATAAAGTTGGTACCGCGGGTGCGATGTGAAAGAGATGATTGTTTATTAGAGGTCGAGGGGTTGGCAAAACAGAGAATCGCGCTAGGCTTGACCTGGGTGAACAATTGGCTTGGCGCGTTGTGGCGCGTTCTGACGCGTCCACCAATCATGCACGCGCAACTAGCCTTCACCATGCATTTGTGAGGAACGAATGATGTGGGGCTTTTGCATGTTCCTTAGGCGACTTGATACGCCGTCCATTCGTTCTCGGCCGATGGTGAAAGACTTTCAATTTACTCGAGGCATTCTCTTAGTTTTCCATATCGACAGATTCTCAGTGAACACACGAACACGTTCCCGATCTCCAATCCTTCATTTGGGTGGCGGTTGGTTTGTGATCGCCCTTACGAAGTAGAGATTGAACATTCTGTAAGAGTTATGTACATGTTAAGGCGCCAAAGGCCGAAATATAAACTTGAAGGTGTTGATTGATCAAACGCAATAGTTTCCAATCGCGTAATTAGAGAAAGTAACTGCATTAAGATGAGCAGACCAAAGACCCGCATACTCCTGTCCGTGGTAACAATGCATAGTCGTGAATCAAAATATGGCCGACTGATCAAGAGCCTCCATAAACTCCCATCATCTTTCGTGGAATATGGCAATACACTTCCTTACTTTCCTCCAAACCAGCTGCCAACCCAGCTCTTTGACTTCTCTGCACCCTCAGAGACAGTCTTGTCGAATTTGTCTACAGCCTGGTTGATCTCCTTGCCAGCTTCTTGCCGTGTCTCCTCAAACTTCTTTGCGGCGTCCTGGCGGTAACTCTCGAACTTTTGGCCAGCCTTGTCAGCCTCGGCCTTGGCTTGGTTGCTCTACAGGGTATCGTCAGTGGTCATCCATATGATAGATGCGTAATAGCCGATAGAAAGGACTAGCGCATTGCTTTAAATGCAAGGGAGAACACGTACGAGTTCTTGTGCCTTGGAACGAATTGCCTCATACCCCTCTTCTCCAGCCTTCTTAGCCTCTTTCTCGCGGCCAGGTAGCTCTCCCCGTACCCTTGCGGAGGCAGCAGCAGCGTCGTCTTGAAGATGTCAGTCACGCGATCGCAATCATGAAGGGAGAGCGGGGTTGGAACATACGTTCAAACTTCTTCTCAGCAAGCTTTGGGTCACCACCAGCATTATAGAGGTAGTAACCTGCTCCCGCAGCAGCGGCGATACCACCGATCTTGACGAATCTTCCGGCCATAGTTGTTGATGAGGCGATGTCTCACTTTTGAGAAGTGGTTATGGGGTTGCAAGATTGAATTAGGATGTAGAGATGCGGGATGTAGTGGTAGCGCGAAGAGAGGTACTTGTACTTTGTGTGGTGGGATGATTGTGCGGTCGTGCGGATGCTGAGGGGAAATGCAAATGCTTGTTTTGTATGGTAGTTGCCGGTAGTGGAAGTGGGTAGTCACGTAGTAATGTACAATGATGACGTCGTTGCTAAAAGACCAGAAGAAGAAGAAGCTTGAGCACAGACCAGCCAGGGCAACAGAACCATTCCATTCACCACCCAACTTCGTCGTGAACCGGGATCGTCAATGGGGAACATCGGAATCGCTGCATGATGCGATCGAATTCTTCCTTCGATTTCCATTTCTCTATTACGAGTTTCTTATTTGTTCTATAGGTACCCACGTCGCGCGAACGATGTTTAGCCCTGGTGTCACGCCTCTGACGTAGTGTAATTCAGCCTAGGCTCTTTCCCCTTTACCAACTTCGTCTCCATTCGATGTTTCTCTTTTTCTCACTCCACATAGCGTAACTACTATTACCTGAGTTAACCAGATGATATTACGATAGCGATCGGCTTGAAGCCTGAAGCAACGACTCGCTTCTACCTGAATATACTCCTTTTCCCCACTTGAACATCATTATGGGGGACCAACACATCAGCCTCGTCGACCACACCGATGACGAGTCCGCATCTGCGCAGACAGAACAAACAACACCAGCAGCACAGCCAGAGTCACACATTGATATCCTCTACGAGAATCAGCGCGGCTGGTTCGTCTTCGGCATACCTCTCTTCTCCGCAAACGCGCTCTGGAACCTTCGCGTCGACCATGCAGCATGGGTTGATGCGAAATTCAAGCCCTCGGCAGTAAATATTACGAACGCACAAGTACCGGACCCCAGTTGGGTATGGGAGTGGAAGAGCTGGTATGTGGACATGAGCCACGACGTCGACGAGGAGGGTTGGCAATACAGTCTTTGGTTTAGAGGAGCTGCGTGGCACGGCAACCATCCGTGGTTCCATAGCTTCGTCAGGCGGAGACGCTGGTTAAGGAAACGTGCCAAACAGAGGCTGCCTCCCAAGACCAAGGACAATAGGGAGAGACTATTTGGCGAAACCTTCAGTATTGGAACAACGCTAGTCAGAGCAAATACCATAGGAACGATGAGTGGACAAGGCAGCCAAGAACAGTCATTCGAGGAAGAGGTTCGGAACGTGCCAGCATTGATGCGGGCATTGAAAAACTCCGCCATTGATCGCGAAAAGATCATAGCCATCCAGAAGTTCATCGATGAGGCTGACGAGGAGTTACATTATTTGGCTGAACAAGTAAGCTGGTCATTTGGACAAAAGCACCCACATTTGGTTCATTCGCGCTAATTATCCAATAGATCCCGTCGATTATGTCGATGCTCATATTTCAGAACTCGCGCCGCCAACTATTATCTACCCTTATGACTACCTTTGATGAAGCACAACGACACCGCGAAGAACACAAACGTAGCGGGAAACCAGAAAACGACGCGGAACAACGAAGAATTGATAACTTGCTCAAGGCTGTGGAAGCTGCCGATGCGGAATGCAAAAAGCTCGAATACTGGAGCGACATTCGAAAGCTTGCAGAAAGCGGCGATGCTGGCAATGCGACAGACCCCCAGAGCGGATGGGATGCGAATTGGCAAGGCTTGGACGGCAGTGGGGCTCCTCACCCATGATGCAGAGTTGTAGCATGATACCTACGTATTCATTGCCCTTTGCGTTACAGGAATTAGACCAAGCATAGGCAGAAACTCAATATGTATTGGAGACAACAATAGATTTGGTGAACAAGGTCGGAGGCACATCGTACCAAAAGCTGGGAATGTGGAGATACTTGGCTATTGCACTCCTTGCGACATTGATGTTCCACGCATACACATATCATTAGAAAGTACTTAATTATTGCTTGTAATAGCCTAATCGGGTTGCATTCTGGGCATTCTTGGACGAATCCCAAGATCTCACCGCTGCTCGTCAATCTGTTTGGCACGAACCCGGATCGGGCCATGAACATCTTCTAGTGTCATTGTTTCATCTGACAAGATCTCCCCCTTCTGAAGGACTTCAACTGCTCCGTCATTCCGCATCTCCCAAATCAATTGACGTATATTGTGCATGGTATCTCTCCAGGTTCGGGCTCCGAGAGCATCCAATTCCTGCTGTGTGAATGCTCGGGCGACTTCGGAGGGGCAGATGGTTTTCGGATACTGGCGCTTCTCCAGGAGGACTGCCAATTGATTATGCACAATCTTGGTTTGTTCTTCATCGAGCGTGACCATTTCCATCATTTGCAGGGGAGAATTCTGAAGGTCACAATTCCAATTATAAAGAAACAGGAGGAAACGATGGTTGTTCGGGACTTGTTCGGGAGGAATCTTGGGCGTGATTTGTGTTCATCCGTGAGTCCCGCCCCGTCTCACTGTTCCCTTTTCCCCCAAGTAGGAGACTGTAGTAGGCTGTAGTAGACTGTAGTGCCCTCCACCAAACCCCCTTCGTCACTCCCCCTCCCCTCTTCCCCCCCACTTGGCTGCTGACCCCCGAAACTCTTAACTCTCTTGAGCTTTGCAATTGTAGATTTATTACTATTTGCATACTTGTAAGATCGCCCTAGGTGAAAGACGGAGATCCGAGAAATATCCCACACACTAGATCTCGACACGGGATAGCTGGGCTATAATTTCTTTTCGATCTCGGGGTTTGACGTCAATCCAATCAGATGCGATGAGTAAGTTTCTGTAAATCCAAAACCTCAACAACCATCGCTTGACCTCGGAGATGGCTGGTCTTGTGCGCCTGTCATCGCGCATTCGGTCGCTTCCCCACGCTGGAGGGGCTGCTATATCTTCCTTGCCTCGCGCCTCTTCGTCACATCTTCTCCTACGATATCAACAACTACAAATTCCCTCATCGTTCTCTAGTCCTAGCACTCCGCTACAACTCGTCCCATCTATCGCACAGAAATCCACCTTTTCCTCTTCAGCTCGAGCCAATTGTCCCCGCAAAATGACGGAACAGTCCAAAGAACTCAGGAAGTACCTCCAGCAGAGCCATGACAAGATCTTCGAGAGCAATCGCAAATGGGCCGAGGAGCAGAGGGCAAAGAACCCAGAGTTCTTCGAGAAGCTGAGCGCGGGACAATCGCCAGACTACCTATGGATCGGTCAGTAATCCCTCCCAGTCATCTTCTGTTTTCGCCAATCCATTCCAATGTCAACGCCAATGCCATAACGACGCCACTACCCTCTCCCAAGTATTCTGTATAACCACAATCTCATTGCTGACTGGACATGTACAGGCTGCAGTGACTCCCGCATTCCCGCCGAAGCCATCACCGGTCTCGGCCCGGGTGAGATGTTCATCCACCGTAACATTGCCAACCTCGTCTGCAACCTCGATCTGAACGTCATGTCGGTCGTCAACTACGCCGTGCGCCACCTCAAGGTCAAGCACATCGTCGTGTGCGGCCATTACGGCTGCGGAGGTGTCAAGGCCGCCATGGCGCCCCAGGATCTCGGCCTGCTGAACCCATGGCTCCGTAACATTCGCGACGTGTACCGTCTGCACGAGAAGGAATTGGACGCCCTCGAGGGCGACAGCAGGTACGACAGACTGGTCGAGTTGAACGTCGTGGAGCAGTGCAGGAACATCATCAAGACCGCCGCTGTGCAGCAGAGCTACGAGGCCAATGAATTCCCCATCGTTCACGGATGGGTCTTCGGGCTCAACGATGGCCTGCTCAAGGATCTCAAGGTCGACCACGAGGCTATCTTGCACGACGTGCAAAAGATCTACAACCTTACCAAGTAGAGCACCTGTGGTGTTTGAACCCAAAACGGGGATGTATAACGGGGACATGTAAAAGACGAGGCGTTTTGAGGATGTAATTTGTGTATCTCAACTATAGGAGTATAATCATGTGTCGTAGTATGTTCAAATTATTTTAAAAATCCTTCGCAGTTCATGCATGTTCGATCCCAACACTGTGGTGCCCGCTGCGTGGAGGGGTAATCCTTGAACCAATGACCAGGTACGATTCAGCTCGTAGCGTGACTTCTGAACTCGACCCTCACGTCTCTTATCTGCCATCTACACCCGACTCTAACCATAGTCTAATACATTTGAGTCCACAATGTGAAGTATGAAAGTTCACCCTAGGTCTTTCTCCCGCGACGTGGATGTGGGGTCATGTCTAGGTACCTAGGCAGCTGTCACGTGCTTCTCAACCATCTCCCACGTCAATGTACTTCCTATTCTCCCTTAACACACTTCGCACACTCTCGTCCTTCACATGACGATTCATTGTTCCTCTGCCTAGAGTGGAATAGGGTTCCAAACAGCGCCATTGACTACGGGCTAGAACCATTCCCGACTGAAGGTGAAGTCGGATAAGGGCATTCTGCTATGGCATATAGCTTCAGAGATTGAAGTGGACGATGTATGAAGCGGCGGTGAGGCGAGTGGGGAGAAAGAGAATAGTGTTTGTTTGAGTTGGTGTGAGATGTTTTGTGGGAGTTGGTGGGATTGGGGACAATGAGATGTCTGATCCAAGATGTACGGGAGTGAATTCCAGTGCGGTGCATGTTGACAATTACCCCTTCAATGGCTGGATGGGAAGAGTATCATGACCGTGCTCTTTCTGTTCTGGGAATGGAAAACAAATCGCAATTGTACTTGAATAGAGGCGTTCCTAGCATCTTCGGGAGGAGCATTTGTGAATTGCTTTCTGCGTTACACAGTGGACGCCTCACCTGATGTCTAGCGGGACTTCATATTGCGGAAGGCAAACCAAAACCACAATAGGTAATGCATGCCTTTCGATAGGATGGCAAGATAGGGACGAAGCCGCATGGTGGGACAAACGGTGGGCATGTCAAGTCACTCATCCACCCCCACAAGGCAGCACTTCAGGTTGGAAAACAGCAAAGTAAGTGTAATTAGATACCATGTTTGCCCAATAAAATAGAGTCCCCGAGGGAATCGGCGAATCAGAAACGAAGCAAAACTGTCGCGAAAAGCTATGATGTCTTCCAGTTTCCTTCACTCTGTACCTATTCTTAGCATAGCATACCCAATAGTGCCACTTCCTCATTTCCCAACGCTGTTTGCTCAAAAGAAAGTGAATTGAAAAGTGTCCTAGGCAGTGGGCGGGTAAACGTGCGTAATCTATGAGGTATAAGAGCCCTCGTTCCCACTCTTCCTCCTCCTTCGCTTTTTCTTCATACCAACCTTTTCTTACAACTCTTCCAAAAACGTAACCCCACAATTATATGCCTTTCCAACCGCGTTTTGAAAGTATAGTATAGTTCAACGAACTTACAAGTATGTTTGTGCCTTTCATGAAAAAAAAACCTTATTGGGGCGATCCAGTCTCTAATATACAAACCGCAACAAAAGCCAGCCCACCACCTCGAAAGATAAACCTCCTTCGAAAAAGAGAAAACGAAAGCCTCGTCCGCCAGAAGATACAAAATGTCCAACAAAGCAAGCAAGCTGTTCCGAAAATTGTCCAACCAATGTGATCTTTCAAAGGACTCATGGGTTATCGCACCATGGCACATATCAGATGAGAAACCCACCGTGGACTCCAGTGCGGACCCAATTCTCATCTGCAGCTATAGTTGGATGCTTCATTCTTTAAACGAGCCAGGAATACATGTGCCTGGTGCGCCCCGGAAGTGGAACCCGCCAGACGTTCCCTTTCAAGTGTACAAGTCCACAAAATCATCTTTTATTGATGAAAATGGTCACAGGGCGCGACAGTTCCCCTTCGAACCACTTATGCAGGCAACCTCCCTCATGAATCCAGATTTCAAGTTCGACGATGTCGACATTGTCTGCGACCGAAATACCCTCCGCCGCCTACTACCCTGGGGCAAGTGTCAAACAACCGACCCCTTCGCGGTAGATCTTGTCGTCATAGGCAAGACAATGTTCATGTGCCGCAAGGAGCATATGACAATTGGCAGCGGTAACGGGTTCGGTAATGAGTTTGAAAATCGAGCAACCACCAGCCTACTAGGACTCCAAAGGGCGTCGTCTCACCATCGCGTCCACATGTACAAGTTCGGAAACCTGAACATTATGGTACGCCATGAGGTCGACGCCTTCCACGAAGATGAAGCCGCATATAACAACACGGATTCCCAGATGATATCAGCATATCAGCCTCCGAAGGGTCTCACCACCTTCCAAATCAATCGCGAATCGACCCACGCCCATAAGACAATCTTACATCCCGGGGGCAGGGTCATCGACTGGAAGCAGATTGGGGAAATCAAGTCAACTGGGATCGGGAAGTCGGCTTCACCAGGACAATACATGGAACAGCTGTGGTTCTCGAGGACTCCGTTGTTGTTTGTAGGAAGACATCAGAATGGGAACTTCGAAGATCTGAAGGCTACGAAGGTTGATGGGATGTGGAAGGACTGGGAGCAGAGGCACCAACCGGAGCTTGCAAGCCTCGCGGCATTACTCCAAGTTACCAGGGATCAGGTGGTGACAAAGATGGGTGGTCGGGCTATCATGGCCAACTTAAGTGCTTGCGGACAAATTCAGCTGTATGAGCCCAAGAGGATACAGCTGGCCATCCCGATGGAAATGGTCAACCGCTTTTGGACCGAAAGGATCCTGAAGGCTCCAGTTGCAAATCTCATCAGCCAGCAGATTCAATACAACGCTGCCATCACAGGATACCACGGAGTTCCAGGGAATCACCAGCTGCCGATGGGTTATCACCTTATACAAGGGCCGGCAACCAGCAAGGAAGTTGAGATGGCTATTCAACAGATCCGGTGGAGGGTTCAGATGTCAATCGAGCAGTCTCAGCTTGCACAACAGCAACCCACCGACCCTCCGGCACCTGGCTTGCTGAGACCTCTAGGACTTCCACCGGTACAGGCTGAAGAACAAGGAACGCCAACTCTTGAAGAGGACGATAACATGGACCTTTACGAGGATCCAAGGCCTTCTTCATTCTGATCCAAAGGCGAAGAGCTCGCCAAATCGAGACCATTGCTGTTGCGATAATCAATTCGTACTGGAAATGAATCATCACCCGCTCTACACCACTCTTCCGTATAGCATGGACTCCACGGTACACCTTGATCTTCCTTGCCCCCATCTCCCTGAATATATCCAACAGATACCCAAACCTTCCACAATATATCTTCCAGAATTTCTTCGGCATCTATCTCTTCCTTCATAGCGGCGTCTTTCAGCGACAGCCTTCGCCTGGTTATGGAGTTTTGCTTTTGGACGTACGATACCCTTACTTGCATTACTTGCATTAGACTGATAATTCGAACTTATAATACCATGACTGAACAGATGTGTGGATTCTTAATATTGATTCTAATCGTGACAGATAGTGCTCCCAGAGATGCTTCGTTTACGCGAGACACAGTTTCGGTACCATTGAATGTACGCTAAAAGTACAAAACTGATTTCAGATTGGCGAGGGGGAAAACAAAGCAGAGTTAGGAAAATTGTCACCATTAAAGAAAGTGTAATTGTTGCAATTCCTTGATAGTAATATTGATGATAAAAAAAGGTAAGGTAAATGTCTCTCCTCACACAGATGTATGAAAAACAGACCAAAGGAAATACAACACAAGAATGACTGGAACCCTACCAAACAAAAGATGACAGGAAAGGACAATGTACAAGGAGAAGTGCCGACGAAAATATGAACGAGGATCATATCTCCGATGTAAAAGGACGATCGCACTTCCAAACTTCATCCTCGCCCATTCCATTACCTGCACGCAATGCAGGCATTAGAGAGTCTTTGAATTTCGTCAGAATCATGGCGAAATACTCCGAAATGTCGACAAGGCCTCGGAATTTTACCCCTTTCATAACCTTTTCGCCGATCAGTTCAAGAACCTTGGCGAAATGATGTCCTGGCAGGCCGAAATCCGAATCCATTTTGGCCTCCACTCCTATCTCCGTGCAGCGCACATTCTTCCCGTGAAAGAAATCCACCCATACGTCTTTGATATTGAGATCAGGATATATCGCCGCGACCCAGTCAAAATGGAATTCTCCGCCTTGGTGGAGGAAACCACGGTCAGTCAACCACTTCGGTAACGGGCGAATTACGCCATCGCCTGAGTTGGTGGATTGGAATTTATATCTGAAGGGTACAACAACCGTTTTGGGATACCGCTACTTAGAGTCCTGCTTGTACTGTGTCAATTGATACCCTCCAGCTCCCCATTTGCACTCCATGCCTAGACAACAAGGGCATTTCCCGGGTATGACCCTATTGATTGAGATTAGCGCGTCTCCATCGGACTTCAATATCCTCTTCTGATCTAATAGAATCTCTTCAGGTTTTGCAGGACCCTGAAACCAGTGAACCGGACAGACATGAATTGGGTCTGCGGTATAAACGGTCTGCAGCGAGTAAAGAAAATTGCAGCTAGGCACGTGGTGGCGAGAAAAAGCAATAGTGACAAAGAAAGTTTGAAACACTGGTTTAGAAAATGCGTTGGGTACAGTCGTGGCACTTCTCACCCAAACTAATAGCCTGTATCTGTGCATTGAGAAGCTCTGACAGCTCATGCAATATTGGTTCAAGTGGCCTCGATTGGACACAATGCACTTGCCGACACCGATGAGCCGAGCTCTGTGATACAAGACAGCCTCACTATACTACAACATCAGCTGGCGGAGTATCTATGACTGAGCTTTGCCTCTACGTATCCTAAAGACGCCATGAAGTGATCACAGCTTTCTAGAATGCACTATGCTTCGAATTACTAATTAGAAGACCTTGTGCGTGTGCACAGCGTAATTCTACCAGAACAACGCAACTTCGGAACGGAGGTGGCCACTGGTAGCACGACCTTCCGCTGCGTCCATTGTTGAGTCCATGGTTTTCAGTATACTGAAATTATGAGCAACTTTATAAGCACGTGACCAAAAGTGAATGTTAGTGCGTACATATAGATAGACCTGCCTAACTCCAATTTGTTGCAGCCAATGCATCTTATTCTATTTGTTACAAGCTCAAACGTCGTATAGACAGACTATTGAATAAGATCGCAGTAGACAATATCTGACTGCTTTGTCGCAGGGCCTCTAAGTAGCTAAGACATCGAACTCTTCATTACGGCGATGCATCGTGCTCTGCGACCCCCGTTACATCTATTGAGTACACGCGAGCTAACAGTTGCACTTTACCTGTCAGTAAACACACCTGCCGCAGAGCTCTGTGCTCCTTTCGTAGTGCTTTCATTCGCATTTCCGGGCTCCTCGACCCCAACATCCTCCTTGGCCGCATTCTTTTCTGCCTTCTTATTCTCCCACTTGAATCCAAAATAGATCCCAAAGAACATGGTTGTAGCAACGAGACTAAGTCCGAGATAGACCTTCGCACCAATGCGCCAGTGAGGCGCCTGTTTCGCTGGATAAGCCGCGATTGGTAGGAAAGCATTCTGGATGTACGAAAGAACGGTCCCCGTTGCAAACAGAATGGTTCGAACTTCGGGTTCGCCTTGGAGGTTTTCTGCGGCCCAGCTGCAGAGGATCATTAGGACAGGACTATTTATATCCGCATTAGTATTGGTCGCCATTGAAATATTGATTGATGTGACGAGCAGGGATCAGAACAACTTACGCGTTGAGAAAGTTAAGATACCATCCTGCCATGTAAGCATGTTCGTTAGATGGCCTCACAATCAATATGACCAGTGAGGCGACACTGATGGCCTGACTGAATAAGAGAAAGGGTAGTCGTTTCCGAAAGTAATCAGACAGTCCGGGAAGGATGAGTGAGTTGACGAGTTGAATGGCTTGGCCAATGATGGGAAGATAGTTGAGCATAGCGACGGAGTATTTCTTGGAGCCGTCGGGATTACGCAGAGATTTCAGCCACAGGTTGAAGTAGTTCGCCGGCTGGGTGTTAATGCCAATACTCCATGAAATTGCGACGGCCCAGAGCTGCCAGTAGGTAAAGGCACGGAAGAAAGTCTTCACAGTAATAGGCACCTGCTGCTTGCGCTTGTACCGGCGATCACGCGCGAGCGCGATTTCATAGTGGCGAGGCTTCATGTAAAATTTGGCTAAGGGATTCGGTCGATCTGGGTAGCCTGGGAGAATCAAGAAGGCTGCCAGTGCGACGCCAATGGTGCAGACGCCATTGATGAGGAATGCCCATCGCCAGCCGGAACGCCCGTGAACACCCTCAAAGTTGGACGAGAGAGCACCCTGCATTGCACCGGACAACATGGCACCAGCGGGCTGCGCGATGTTGTAGATAGCCATGCGCAGTGCTACTTCGCTAGGAGTATACCATTGACTAGAGCTTTGTCAGACAGCCTTTTCGTAACGAGATAGGCTTGAAGCTCACCTGATCTGCGTGTAGTATCCTGGCCAAGCAGTTCCTTCAAAGAACCCAATGAGGAAACGGATAGCATAAACTTGTTTGTAATCCGTGACGACAGAGAGACAGCATGTAAGGACACCCCAGGCAAGCTCACAGGCTGGTAGCCAAATGTGAGGGCCGTAGTGAGAAACAATAATGCATGAAGGATATAACATAACCATGTAACCGATGTTGAAGTATGTCGTGAAGTAGTTGAGTTCGTTTCCGAAGAGTTTCAAATCCTCCTTCATCCCGGAAACATATGCATTGTTCTGGGGAAGGTAAGCTATCGAATCTGAAATAATATTTGATAATTTGATTGACTCACGATGTTCGTTTGATCGATGTATTTGAACATATAGCCAATGAAACCAATTGTCATAAACCAAGCGTCAAGGCGCCATAACTGGAGGGTCAATCTGATCAGCACGGGAGACAATACAAGCAGACATGACAATTCATACATATCTCCGTTCTTCCCTAGGATCAATTTCATCGGTCTCTTGACTATCGATTGGCGTTAATGCTCCATCGGATCCAGCAAACGATATGTTTTTGGTATCAACAGAGGGTTCTTCAGTTGCCCGGCCCATGACGATTATAGCTTAAGAACACCCTGTGGAAAAAGATGAGAGATGTTTTGGAAAGCTTTGTAGAAAGTGCAAGTTAGTTCACCTGGGTGAAAATATATATGCATGGGAATGTCCCGTAGAAAAGCCAAGCGAGCGGTTGAGAATCTAGAAACGCCAATCGATGTTGACAGCTAGGAATGAAAGTACGTGATCGACATGACTATCAATAGCTGCGTCCTTCGGATGAAGATACGAAAAAGTCGGGTATCGGCAACCTCTAAAGTGTTTGAAGAGAATCAACACTGTTCATTTGTTTCGGCCACTGTCGAGGCCTTGATGCAATACAGATGCCTTCTTCAAAGACACACAGCTTCACGAGGAACAACATATTGCAACAAAGTTGCAAGAATTGTAGAGAAATGGTGGTGGTGACCTTCTGTCAGCTTTGCGCCATGTTGACAGCCGATGTGGATTGCGACATCGACGGGGTTCTCGACGCCATAACAATTGATCATGATAAGGATAATAACGGCAGCAACACCAATAATTGATGGGAGGAGGGCCTGATATTCTTTCTTCTTCGCAATAAATCCTTGATTCACTTTTCGGAGATGGAGGAAAAGCATGTGCTTGACTGCAAATCTGACGTTTTATGTTTGTCAGTCGAAATATTTCCGAACACCTCTCAACGCTCAGTCGACCTGACAAGTGTGGCGTACGCGCTTAATAGTTGGAAAGCTACCAATATTTAGTTCAATAACCAGTAATTGCCTGAGAACGAGGTTTGGGTATACAGCTGAATGAAAGACCTGATTATCCAGGAGAAGAACGTGAAGTGGTATAATGGAATCTACACTTGTAAATGTGAATGCTATGCTCAAAATGGCTAGCTCGATTTTTCACATATCTGCCATCCTATCGCTATGCAACGTTCTGCTATACGTTCTTCAAGTAGCAACGATTTCGAAACAGATATGTGCTACCGCCATGCGAGTCATGAGCAAGTGCCAATTTGCTGAAGTACGACACTCAAGTGGCCCGGACCTTACCCCACCTCAATGCCCATGGTGGATTTGTACATTTTATCAAAGTTTCTGCTTTAAGCCTAGCTCACGCACACACTCCTCTGCGAAAGCCCACTTACAGGCATTAGTCTAGACAAGTCGGCCCATTTTATAAAGAACCTCTCATACAACCTTACAGCTCCGCTTGTAGAAGAACCTGACTACGTCATCGCACTCTTAAACCACGCAATGCAAGAACATCCGACATAATGCGATGGGCCGATGTAGAGGCGTTCATACGCGGTCATTGAATCCATGCAGCCGCCACAACAGGCCAGTGACTTTAGCAGGACAATGAAATTTCGCCTGCAAAAGACGAATTCTTTGCGACAGTTCATTCCTATGCCAAAGCGTGGTGCTGTTCGTATTTATCTCATGAGATTATAGAACTGGCTCGTGGGAGGTCGCCGTGTGGATTTGCTTGTCTAGCATATCGTGTGGGACTCTAGAACACACTGGTGGACCCTTAGGTAAGAGTGAACGAAGAATACAATTGAAACGAGGCGAAGCGAATTCCCGGCGGGAAGTATTGGACAGGTCTGCTTTGCGTCGGCGAGCCATGAGCCTGTAGAACGACATGTTGGAGGCGATATTTGACAAGATAATCAGCTGATAAGACAGGGAAATCGTGGAGGATAGAGAAAGAGCAGTTGCCTTGGGTGGAGCATATATAAACAGGATGTGAATGTTGATGTCGATTAGCGTCACGACTCTGAAAACCAACGCCGATAAAGTAATATGAAAATTCGGGTGATAGTGTTTACTCCCCACAAAGAAGGAACAACGATGCGCGATAGTACAATTGTTCAAGAAAGGCGTGGGAGTATGTATCGCATGGTCATTGGTCAGGTTGGTTTATTCGTACTGTTAATGCTGTGTTCGTGTTTGTGATTATTAGTTAGGTAGCAATGAATTAAAAGATAAACATGGTACTTCCATAACTGCGTTCTACTAGATTCATCACTAAGATGGAATTCAAAACGTCACCAGGAACATGCGATTGATGTTGCCTCACACTGAGCGGCCTGTGTCACGTATGGTAGACTGCATGATACAATGCCCTGACAAGGGAAGAGTCGTTAATTTAGTTACAAGCAGTCAGATAATGTTGCGACTGTTTGTGTGCACGGTGAACAAAGGTTGTACCACGCAGTTATCATCTTGTTGTTCCAGGAACATGGTAGATAATTGCACCCTACTTGGTGCTGCATGCCCCAGTGACATGGATAATGAGACTATCTAGAAGCGCTGTTTGCTTCAATAATTACCGTTCAAGCAGCTGAGGTCCTGTCGTGTTTCTCTGTATCCTTTGATTTACCAACCGTTATGCACATATTGAAGGCCTTCATCTTGCATGGATACGAAAATATTAGTATGTTCTCCTTAGGACACACGTATAAGACAAGAAACCGTTCTATATAAACTTGAAAGAGAAGTTTTCAAAGTCAGTGGAACACAAGATATCGGATTAGGTAACAAAGAATTTACGATTTAGCAGACACTTTGATTACGCACTATGTACACTTGGCTAAGCCACTTCATTTTCCTTAGCAGTCGAGTTACGCTCATACAGACTGTGAGATATTACCGACAAAGAAGGTTTGCATGTCAATTGATGCGATTATTCCAGTCATTGTCTAAGCACTACGGCGGGGGAGCTTGGCTGCCTCACGAGCAGACAGGACTTGCACACCATGAGCGATGTGGCGCGGAGTCGATTTCGGGGAAACCAGGGCTTTCGTGCGCTTCTTTGAAGGGGAAGCGGACTTCGCTGAGGCAGATCGGAAAGCCTCTTTTCCAGCCTTATCTGGGAAGGACTCATTTCGACCGCGAGAGACCGCACGCTTGGGCATCATGCCGGATGCAATTCGCTGGGCTGCGTCACTGAATTGTGGATTGCTCGAGACGAATGCAGCAAGCTTAGGATGAGCAGATAATTTGCCCTTGACTTGAGCGTGAGCCAGGTTGTTGACCAAACACTTCATCAGTGAATCGTTGTCGGAAGTAAAATGAACGATACTGCGAACGAGGGATATAGGTACAGCGCCCTCACGAACTTGATCGCAGAGGTGCTTGGTTATATGTCGAACGTAACCCTCCATACCAAGGACAATGGCTGCATACCGAAGCTTGACGTTGTGCTCATGGTTCGGTTGGATCTTCAAGCTGTATGTGTCCCCTTTACACGTTCCGATTGCCGTGAACCAGGCAACGATATCTTTGACATCAGCCGGGTCAATGTTGTTATCGGCAACGTCAAAGAAGGAATCGGCTGGGCAATTCAAGAAATGTTCACGCGCCTTGGAAGACACTGCCATGAACATGTGCTTCGGAACGTTGGGAATCTTTTCTTTCCCCACGCAGACCAGGACAGTAGGTCCCTTGAATAGAGATGCGCGCTGGTCCTTGCTTATATATCGGACATCCGGAATCTTCCCATTAACAATCCAGAGCCCGAAATCGAATGCGGCAGATGGGAGACCTGACTTGGAGGTCTCGTCGCTGCACCTAGCGGGAATTTTACCTCCGTTCTTGATAGGAAATGTGAGCTTCGGTGCCGATCCCACAGTAACGATCTTCTTTTCCGGGCGAGACTCAAAGGCTGACAACCCTGCACTAGCAGTCGTACCCGAAGAGCTAGTGCAGGACTGCGACGATACCAATTCGTCGTTGATCTCGGCAGTATCTCGACTATTGGAGGACCTCGACGTAGAATTCATCTCGATTTCGAGATCAGATTCATTCGAATCGGTCTCACGAAGAGCTGGGACGGGCTTGTCGCCGTCGGTTCCGTCTTCACATTCACCTGGGTGGGCTTTGCCGTTGTGCTTCACCTCCACGTCGCTGGTGTTTGCCATCCAGGAAACCGCAAATTCGTATTGCAGTCTTTCCATGTTCTCATTTGCGCGTTTGAGGCTTAATTGCAGCTCTTGTATCAGGACTCCGCTCCGATCGCCCATCAACCGTAGCTCAACGATTTGAGAATCTCTGTCTTTGAGCGCTCGTTGCAATCCTTCGATAATCTTTTCCTTCTTGTCGAGCTCCGTGTTCTCTTTGCGATCCGCTGAGGAGGCCCCGAAATCCTCGTGTACCCAAGAACCGGTTGTCGTCATGGGAGACTTTGGCTTGGTGAATGTAGGGGAGCCGGTGGGTGCTGAAATTGATTTCCTCGCCTGACTCGGGGAGGCCGGGGATAGCCTAGTCATCTGGACACGCTCTGCGGTTTCACTAATCACTGTTGAGCTCTTCAACTTGTCGGACCAAGTACACCCGACCATGATGAAAGTATGTGGTGGATTTGTAGTGGCGCTGAAAGTGGAGTGCAGAGTAGTTTTATCGGGTTCGTAATTGCTTTGTGTGAGTATACATGTAAGTTGAACGTGTTTTCTTTCTTAGCTGGGTGTGTGGTGAAGATACGCGAGGAGAGTGGAAGTCAATACATTGAGAGAACCAGACCTTTTGTATTTGGGCTCACCGCTGCCAAGAACAGCTCAGGTGAAGGTGATGTGCTTAAACAATACAATGAGTGGGAGAATCTAGTACAGGTGAAGGGGAAGAAAGTGTCAAGACAATTATCAATATCAGATGTATTGTGCACAAAGGTTTAAATAGTGATAATGTATCTGATTTGTGCTAAATTTACACAATGAAAGTTTTTGTTGTTACTGGATCAATTTCACTGAATCATAGAGTTCATTTGAGGCTAGTTTCACTGAAATACGCATTTGAGAGTCACTAACGATATTTGAGTGGTGTTGCTGGTTGACGCCTAGTGAGTGCAAAATCAGCACCACGCTCAGGGCAGCTATTATTAATCCTGTCCTTTACTTTTCCAGTGTGCAACTGAATCCTAGGAGTTTAATATCAATGTTTGTGACGATTTTCGGAGCTGAATGCTTTTCAAAAGCTCACTTCTTTAATTCAACCACACTCGCGTGAAGGCTACTTCGTATAGTGTATCCTCTGTAGACTATTCCATCCATTGGGCTATGGTATTAATATAGTTTTATAATCTTAGGTAATAAATTAGGTTAAATGAGCACAGAATAAGTGATGGTATGCAGTAAAGAGCATAGTCAGTTCGAGTGATATTGCATGTAAAACCTCCCGACAAAGTTGATATACATCAAAATCATAGCCATAAATTCTCACTTAAAAAGAAGAAGTACCTTGTGCACTTGATTAGCTAATTAATTGATACCGTGCCTATAGAGACAAGAACCTTTATGGGTGTAATGAGTGGTATGGTGAACGGCTCGTTGGGAACGGATGAACGTGCGATTAGAAAAGCTCTGGTGAGGACGTAAAGTAGATTCTGGTGAAATCTGTCTAGAAGCGAGAATCAAACAGCCTAAGGTTTTCTACCGTCGTATTAGTATCCTCCTTTTATCGGGAATTGGCACAGTTCTTACAAAAATCATGTTTTTCTTAACTTCAAGTAACAGTATTCATGCTAATCCCTGCGCCCGTCTATAGTATCTATATCTATAACGCCAAGTCGAGAAAGACAATCAAAAGAACGCACAAAATGTATTTACTCTACGTACTGTCAGTGTCCATAGGTGATCCCGGTCGACTATCCTTGATAGGGTTCTTCATCTTGCCCTTGTTTCCATACGCTTTCAAGAGAAGCCTTGCCCGTTCTTGTAATTCTTCGTCAACGGCAGTACCACACTGGCCCGTCCATCCATTCCCACCAAGGTTCCGTTTTTGGAACATCTTCTGCAAGTTTGACACCGATTTTCCTTGACTCACTGTGGCGATGTGTTTTGACCATGTTTCCATCCACTCTTCTATTTTCTCAATTCTGTGATCGTATTCCTTTTCCATGTACTTGAGCCACTTCTCAGCGTAACCCTTCGGCTTATAATTCTGAGTCTTGAATTTCTCAGGCAGCACGACCTCGTCCATGTGTTGAAAATGTTCTGCCACGCGGAGTATTTGAGACTTCATGAATTTTACAACGTCCGCGTCCTGATGATATTTGTATACGCCGAGGACATCGCGAAACTTTGCCAGACCTTGGACTTTGCCTTCATTGTTATTGACAGTAACAGTCTTACCATTTGCATCTTTTCGGTCTGTTGTTGTCTGCGATTTCGTTGTTTTGTCTTGGTGATCGTACCATATGTTTTTCTCGAGATTGAACTGCAGCGTTTCGCGGTTTTTCTTAGTGTCACCCGCTTTGCCAGTTCTCTTAGAAACGGACAATTTCGGAGAAAGACTGTTCCCTTTCCAAAGCTATGAAAATCAGGTATTTGGTTGCGTAAGAGAACCATACGGCCGTATGCTTACCTGCATCTTTCGACCGTTCAATACCGTTTCCAAAATTACGAATTCATCCCAGTAAGGACTTGTTGTCTCAGTACCGGGGAATGCCTGGCCAACAAAGTTGAGGGCCGTAATGTCCTTGAATAGTTTTGGTTTTTTTTTCGTTTTATCCCATCTATCTGTATTTCCCTTCTTATTCACCTTTTGCTCGACCGGAAAATCGAACTCAAAGTCTAGGTCCTCATTCCAGTATGTTCTCCTGTAAGACAAGTTAGGACCTTATTATTGCGGGGAAAGTTGTCTGATGAAAGTTCTCTCGACTTACAGGTCATCACACCATTCTTCGTCCTCCTTCCCTTCGTCATTGTCATCTTTCTCTTCATTTTCTTTATTAGTCAAACCACTTTGCTGCATCAGGAACCTTTTCAGCATGTGCCATTCAAGGATATGCTCAGTTGCATATGCACGAGTATCCTTCAAGTACTTGTATTTTCCGATCTCATAATAACCTTCTTCGTTTGGCTTTTTGATTTCCTTGAAATCAAACACCATCTCATCTAGGCTGAACTAAGAGGTGTCAATGAATAATCTTGGTGGTAGAACGAAAAAGCATACCTTATCAGGATTGGCGTCAGGATACGGATGAGATTTGAATGATATGCCTTTTTCCTTTTTGGTCTTTGCGTCTTTCACCACACATATTTTACTCTCCTTTGCCGATCCTCTTGCTTTCAGCTCGTCGTTGAGATCTTTGATCAGGGCTCTTTTTGCTACCGTTGCAGGGTCCTCCAAAGGTGCCCAAGGATCGTAGTCCTCACAGTCTAATGCTACTGGGCAATTCAATGTTTCGGGGCTTGGCGATCGTTTACGTATATATACAATGTCCTCGTCGTTTTGTTGTTCGTAGTGGACGAGATCCAGCTCGTGTTCTCCAAGTTTATTGAGAACGAGATCAAGTTCCGGGCCAGCGGACACAAGATGTGAATCGGCAAGTGTTTGGCTAATGAGGAAAAATGCTACCGTCGCGATGGAAAGCATCTTTGCAACTGAAATGTTGGGAAAAGTGTTTTTGTGTCGAGCATACTGTCATCAATCTCGGGACTGTCAGAATATTTATTTCCAGTTCAGAGACAATTGATGACTTCACTTTCGACGATATGCTACAGTATTCGACAAGTCAATCTGAGAGATGAATGTACTCGATACTATTCGAAACGGTGGCCATATTATGCCGGATGAATCCATCTCCAGTCTCTTTCACGGCGTAGTTCGTAGGAAAAGATGCGTGTATCCTCTTCGTGTTTCAACTGCATGGCGTTCTGAATTTCTTGCTGCCTTCTTGAACTCTACCTTTTGCCTGCTAGCATTGTCACATTGGGGAGGATCAAGGATTCAGGCACAGGGTGGAGACACTCAATAGGATTCATGTGTACAATTCCTAATCAGCCCCCATACTCTACGCGCCGTGATCCCAACATGGCTGTAATCTGCCGCCGGTGCATGCATCCATGCGGATCGGGCTATTGCAACGATTGGCTATGAATGCTCGATGCGCCGCAAACATGACGTGGCATGCACTGTGCCGCAATATCAGTACCTGCGATGTACATATATGTACGGATGTCCATCTTGCCACAGAATCGGCACAGCAAATTTCTTGCGGCAAAGCATCACAATCAGGCGAATGTCACTTCATAGTAACCACTGTGCACATTTCTCCTTACAGCACCGTTGATTGGATCAGTCACTGTCCCATTTTATTTCGCCATTTCCCGCTGCCCTACAGTCACTTCCTCACCGAGGCATCGTTTGCTCGCCCTTCCTCTCACGTTTATCATGAATCGTATGCCTCTAGAGCTGGTATCCATGATCATATCTGAAATTAGACCTTGGACCTATCGTCGGGTCCCGCCTGACGAAAAACTGGCACACCTTGCCAATCTGTCGCATACATGGCAAGCTGCAATTGAAAGCAAAACATTTCGGAAACTGGAAGTTTTGAACTCGGAACTGGAAACATTCCAGCAACTTTTCCAGGGAACAAATATTCGACGGCGTGAGCTAGTGCAAAAGCTCTATTTCAGTATCAAGTTTCCAAAAGAAGAAGTATGGGACGATGAGGTCGGCAGGTGCTGTCCGGTGAATAGCAAAGTCGACTTCGACGCTGAAGGAGATATCTGGCACCGTGATGTGACGAAGCTTTTCCGCATTCTGAGCGATATCGAAATTCGTTTCCAAGCGCAAATTGGACGAACGGCACCTCCAATGAAGCTTGTGTTTTACAATTGTACGCGGGCCGGTCGTTGTGAGCTTGTCAAACCATCCTATCGCCCTTGTTCATGGGGTTTACATACCAGACCTGAAATGGCTGCAGTACGCACTCGCCCAGGTTCAGTTCGAGTTCCAGAACTACGGAATATTCCTGCCTTATATCAGGTTGCTTCATTTCGTGCCTGTGCCAGCAGCTGCTCGAAGTGGCTGCATCCTGAATGGATCCATATGTTGGCTTCACACCTCCCAAACTTGAGCAATATGGAGGTTTTCTTTGAAGATCCCTACAACTGGGGCCGAAACTGGCGAAGGGAATATCAATTAGGTATGTTCGTCACTCGTCTATATTTCGAGGTGAATTTAACATGCGCCGTATAGCACTTGCTCGGTCCCTTGACAAGGCACTGAATAGATCCCTGGAAGTTATTCGTATATATTCCAATACTCAAGACCTCAAAAACGAAGATGTCGATCTACATCAGATCTCTTCACCTGATATTACTGATCATTTCTCCAACCGCCTCCTCCGGCAGGTTTCGACCTTCGCCAATTTGCGCACGCTCTATCTTGAAGGGATAATGGTCGTAAGCGAAACCATGTTTCAGAGCTGCGTGGAAAGACCTTCTACCATATTCTTTCCCCAATTGGAAGAATTCTATCTCCATTTTGCTCCTTCAAGTGCAGAGGGGCACTGGTTCTACCTTCGCGACGATGCGGCGTTCGCCGCACAAGAGGATTTGGAAAATGAGCCCGGACTCCAGCCTGGAAAGGGCTTTATCGTCTATAAAGATACGCACTTACCAATGGGCGAGGTTTCTAACTATTACCAATACCGGTCTTTACCTAATCCAGAGACATTGACACCGTTTTTGTCATCCGCCGCGCACTTCTGCAGAACCTTGCCGAAAATCAAGCGTTTCGCTCTCAAGATGAACGACCGTCCAGGTGGCTATGATGAATTGACTTTCGATTTCATTGACAGAATCCTAGAATTGTGGTACTTCCCTGGCGGAGTGTCACATGGAGGCTTTAGGAAAGCATCACAGTGTCCAGTCTTGCCAATTGACCAACGGATTGCCCAGTACGATCGTGTCTACTTCCGAATTGGAAGCAGTCGTCTAGACGAAAGGATAGTTGAAAGCTGGAGGAAGGCTGTTGGCGTTGACGGAAAGATCAATCATTTAGATCAAAACCATTTCAAGAAGGAGTATTGTCCATTTAGACATTTTTACACAGGTGAGATTCTTCAAGAGTGGTAGACAGTAGTATTCATACACAATTAAAGGCTCCTAGCCTTTTGTCAAAATCATCTCACCAGATGGATCTTTTCCACATCTATCTGGAGATTGCTAAAGTCTCATCATTCAGTTCTTCCGAATCAAGAATGGATGACACATAGTTGTTTCATTCATGATTGAATCAAATCTAGACATTTCTTACTAGGCGGTAGAGGAGTTATTACTGTCATCCGTTGAGAAAATGATTTATAACTTGAGTCAGCATGCCCATGTACCAAGGCTACTTTCATGAACACGTACATACTCTGCTGCTGTTACACTTCTGATGCTCGGTTACGTATATGTTCAGAGAGGCCAGATACGTGAAGAGTCCAAGGAGTTAGGACGTGAGACCTTGACTGTAGGGAATACCGATGTAGTTAATGTAGATGTGTTCAAACATTTTGGATTCACAAGAGCCAGATAGCCTACAACTTTCATGAAAAGGAAATCCCAATCTGTCGACAATTTCTTGATGCACCATACCGGTTGGCATATAGACTATATAGCCTGGTATTCTCGAACCTAATTGCCTCTGCTCTATAGACCACCCATTACTTCGACAACGCTTTTTTATCTCTACCTCATTGAAAAATGCACTTTCTATCGTCCAAGTACGTTATATTTGCTCTTCAGGTAGGATTATTTCCTCAATCTGTGTACCCAACGCCGCTCGATTCTGACGCCATGGTTATCGAATTACGATTCAAGACCAATCCCGATCCATTGTCATCCCCAGCAAATGGCTTTCCACTTATATCGGCCAAGGACGTCGTGATGCCCAAAGCGCCAGACGATGCCTTACAGGGTGCGCCGTTGAATTCCACGACAATGATGCTGATTGAGCATTTGCTTGACCTGCATTATCTACGCTATAACGCGAATCAGATCATGAAACGGAACGATCTTCAAAGACGCGGTGTAACCAAGGGCTCGAAGAAAAATTGCAAGCCGTGTCCGGGAACGAAGTTTTGGAACAAGAAGAAGAAGACTTGCGAAGCTTGCAAAAAAAATCAGATACCCACGGAGAAAGGAGACGCATGTGTCGCTCTACCACCAAAGAAAGAACAAGGCGAGTGCGCGGACGAGGCTGCCTTTGGCAAAGTAAGTCATATCTCCTACTGCTTTGCTTTTCGCATGGATTAACTCATCATAGAAATCCTCCAACAAAAAGTCAGAATGTCAATACAGGATCAGTTCGGGGGTAGGACAGTAATTGCTAGTGTTGCTATGTATGTTGCTCGGTTGGCCATTCGATGATGAACGTCCCGAATCATAGTAGAAAGCAAAGGTGTAGAGTGGTATGATTAGTATAGACTGGAATTGAAGTATTTTTCCCTTGATTAATTTAGTTACGGCTTTAAGTACTTGTAAGACACGATTGCTCGTACTGGTCCAACTAGGGTCTTCATGTTTTTGTACGGGTACACTCCTACCCAAGCATCCCGCGCCGCCTTGCTTTGAAACACTTACGCCGTGCCGATCTATTGGAGTGTTGCTAACGCCACATGACGGCGCGACGACAAGAGATACCGTGCCAGCTATCGGTTTATTAATTAAAAAAGGGTTCTGGGTTAAATTTAGGCATCTTGATCGAAAAAACAAATGCATACCTCCATCTATTCCTTCCCACTGTTCCTAACATGCCGCCAAGGTTACTCTGCCACGAAAAGATACGCATTGAACCCTGTAGAAGCTATTAAGGTTGAATACTCATTCAATTTATCCCAAAGATGTAGATTCAATGTATTGTCGCTTCTAAAAGAGACTACTTCGGCGCCCTCATTTGGTTTACCGACCGGTAGTGGATCCCTCCTGGTAACCAATCACTATGACTCAACGAGCATAAGGACCAGATTCTGCTTCCGTATGCACCACCACGATGGAAATCCGGTTTTTAACCTTGGTCCACGTAATGTTGATATGTTTGTTGAATGACGGATCAAGCATGACCTCGTGACCGACTGAAAAATGGTTGAACATGTTCGAACCTCAACAAATCTGGAAGGCAACACGTATTAAAATCCTATCTCATCTCTAGATGCAGTCTTTGCATCCCTGTTGACCCTTTTCCAGGTTGCTTCGCCATTTCTCAAGAGGCGGGCATACCACGACTCAAAAGAAGCAATATGCGCCGCATCTCTGTGACCGTCCTTCCACTGCTGGTCCTCCCTGGGGTCCTAAGCGCTACGTTGCGAAACGCCACCAGTAATAACCAGGTGCCTCCAGTTTTCAATGGTAAGTATTCCCTCAGAGAGAGAAATGGCTCTTGAAGTTCTTTTGAATCGAGTACAATTAAACGAAGTCCAATTTTCATAGACGTTGACACTGGTACAGATACAACCTCGCTCTCGATCAAAGGCAGCTTCCACGCCGATTCTAGCCTAGAATACAGTGCCGATGTCGAATTGAACATCACAAAGCGTGCATACCCTCGAGAAGGTCAGAGAAGATGCAGACCATGGTACCCAATCGAGATCGAAAGATTCACAATCGAAGGAGGCTGGAATGTAGATCAGGCCTGCCCTGATGAGTACTGGTGCTATGCCACGGAAACAACTATCCGATGTAGAAGACTAGAGTGGAAAACTCGCTGTAGTATGTTTGATCCAACTTGGATCGAATTCAATACAGGCGACAAGTGGCTTGATTGGAATCGCTGCAGAAATGGTGAGCGATGCTATATGCTCAATGGAGTTGGCAGCTGCAAACTGTCAGGGGGAAAATTCAAGGTTCATACAAACCGATGGTCGGCTCGAGATACGCTGGATAAGACGACAAAAGAGGATTGGGATCACTCAGAAGCTGACAATGTGGAAAACTCGAACACTACCGCAATTGACATAAGAGACAAGACATTTGACTAGGCTCGCCAGAAAGATACGATCCATAATGTTGTAATCATGTCCCTGATTTCAGCAAGAATTTGATCATGCACGATTCGCGTGATGGATGAAAGGTCACAACTCAATGCAAGCCTTTCCACCTGGATACTTTAGTTGGCGAAATTTGGCTGCTGTCTGTAAACTCAACCTAATACTAGTTCAAGTGAGAGGCGTCACTCGTTGCTCTCACTGTTTTTCTTTACTTCTCGTAATCTACACCCATTCTTAAGCACACTTTCCCAGAAGTTTATTTGCGAAGACAATGTGAATATATTAGGACAATTTGTCCTTGCTTTGTGCCCTTCAAGTCCCAAGTTCCCAGTAACTACCTAGGTAACAAAGAATAAATTATCCAGGGTCCAAAGCGCTCATCACTGCAACCAAGCCTACTGCAGCTCTGCGCGACCATTTAGAAGACCTTGAAATGACAGAAACCTATGATGGAACATTTCATGGTGTGAGGCTTAGACCTGGCTTTCGTTAATTGTACGAGGATGTGGCTGTGCGGGCCGCCTATTAGGGAATGGTTGGCTCCGTCGAAATGGAAAAAAAGATGGTGATGGGTGCCTAAGTGTTCAATTTCCCGCATTTATAGGCAGGGGTTTCATTCAATTCTTAGCATAATAAAATCCTCTTTGTTGATTGATTCATCTACGTTCTGAACATGTCGAGGTGCTGTCTCCATGAGCATCTACAGCTTGAATGCTCCGCGTTTGCAGCAGAAGCGGGATTTGTTCGAGCGGACGCCAGCGAACGAGTAGCTGCAACCACAATATCAGGGAAATTGCCTCCGAAATCGAAGCGTCAAAGGATCGAGAAGGATGCAAAAGATTTGGCCCACTCTTATCCTGGACCATTAGTCTTGCCATGGGACGACCTCAACCTTGATCCAGATGATGAGCCTCAAAGCTTCAAAGAGTGGTTGAATATGCAATCCAGGAATAAACCAACCCAGGAGAGACATACAATATATGTAGTCGAAGTGCCTGAAGTTACAGACGAAGTAAGCTTCATGTCAGGCTGGACCAAGCCAATCTTGGCGAGCGACGAAGTGACCAACGGCAAAGACGGACCACCAATCGAGAAGCCAGAATTTGGGAAAGACCTGGAACCCCCCGTCGCGGAGCCTATTATGGACTACATCGAGGCATTCTACCACGGCATTACGGTTAAGCGCTTCGATCAACCTCTACGATACATATCCGCAGAGAAGAAGCGCGAGAGAAACCCTAGAAGATTGCCGAAATGCATCAAACTCGCGTATGGTAAACGCTCAATGGAAATCAGCGTACGTGCATCCCGCGACGGGGTGTTTCGGGCACAATTGAACCTAAATGATATGCTGGATGCTGCGATAGACATTCTTCCGGACGACGCATATGCCATTATACTGCTCGTCGATCACGATATCTACGAAGACGAAGACGATGACTACTGCTGTGGGCGAGCATATGGCGGTAGTCGGATCTGCGTTGTTCAGTCAGCGCGATACAACCCATTGATAGACAACCGGGAAAAAATCCAACACGACCACTTATGGCCAATGAGTCACTGCAAGCAGTATGTTGACGAGTTGTGTGCCGAAGAAGACGTGTTGCCGATACCCGCGAAGGCGGACTCCAGAATTGAGTGGGGAGCCATCAGGAAGGCAGTGCAGGCAGCTGAGAAGATATCACGCCCATCCTCTGCGGAGGAGCTGCAAGCATTGTGGTTTTCACGTGTCGCACGAACTGCCGTGCACGAACTAGGTCACTGCTTTGGTATGGCGCACTGTGTATATTATGCCTGCAACATGCAAGGCACGGCATCGATGAAAGAGGACGGCCGTCAGCCACCTTATTTCTGTCCAGTTTGTTTGACTAAGGTATCTTTTGCCGTTGCGGTGGAACTCCAAGCTGGGGGTGAACATCAAAGACTCGCCTATATCAAGGCGAGAAACGAGAAATTGACCAGATTCAGCGACTATTGGAGAGACACAGCGCTCTTTGCAGGCTTCAATGCCTGGCTGAAGGATATGCTTGAACACGAAGTCTAACTTTATCCTTTATAGCACAATATCATTCTCGCGATAACAGAAAACAGTTCAGGTTGCACTTTGAGATCAAGTGCTAAGACATGACGCGGGAAAGCATATGCTAAAATTTGATCGAAGGAAGAGTGGGATCATATGAATTTGAATCTCTCGTCACTCGCAATACTATGATCATCCTTTGGTGAAGCTGTCGGGATCCATCAAGTTTGGCGGAGGTGCGCCAGGTACAGGAAATCCAGCGAGGATGGAGCGCAACTAAAAGCCTCCGCAAGCAGGGTTGCTAGCGGACACAGAACAGTTACCCAATTGTGTTCATAGCATCCCCCAGCATGATACCAAGATGCAAGGGGTATCCTTGCAGTAGGTTTTATCACATAATAGATGGTGTATTGTCTGTCCATTCTCTACCTCAACGTCCCTCCCTATCCAAGCTGTTACAAAACTCTCCCGGGATCTCTCCACTGAAGAAGCGCATCCTGACATCTACACCGAGGGTCACAGTAGCTAGAATTCCTAGTACTCTCGAAAGCGGTAAGTCTACAGTCATTTCTAGATCCACGGCTAATCTCCACAGGCAACAATTAACACGATGGCTTCGAACACTTTTCTAGATGATTTCAAAGAAACGAGGCAATGCCTCAAGACAACGAGAATGCCTCAAGACAACGAGGATGCTAGCAAAACAATATAACGAAGAGTACGAGCATGTTGGGCATCAACATCGGGCTGTATCGTCCAGATATCCTGTGTTCTGGCAACGCAAGCATCCATTCGGAAACAAATCGAGGAAAACAGCCATGGGACCTATGCTTCTAATCTAACCTTGAACACTATGCTTGGAGCGGAGCAAACCCTTATGGATACGTTGCAGAAATTGGTTGAACTGCATCGTGAAGATGTTGAAGAAGCCAAGAAGAAAATTTCTCAAGACTCAAAGAGAACTGAGGATAGTGCGGGACACAAAGATCATGAGGGTAGTGAGAGTTTGGAGACCAACTATAGTGAAGTAATCGACATGGACAAAGAATTTGTTCATCTTAATTCTAGAGGCTAAGGGATGGCTTTGGTCCTTGTGGCCAACCAAGTAATTTAAATTACTTGCTCCACGGTGTGAGCACAACATGACGGACTTGATGTCACCCACTGTGACACGAAACAGACACCGAAGCGAACCAAAACAGGGGTACTTCAACTCCCAATCGAAATTATAAGTCATCTGCGCTTTGCTAGCCAACTTACCTGCTGCAATACTATTCTGACCCTTCTTATAAACAGTCATCATCGTTCGCAATCGAAAATTACCCCTCTATTAGTGTTCCTTACCGCCACCTGAGCAGTAAGCATTGTCCCCTCACCCACCATCGCCGCAATCATGCGGTCGTCTGTCTCTACCACCACGGTTCCGCCTAAGATGCCTGCTCCGAAAACCGTCACAGTGCAAGCGGGGGAGCAGCAGGCGCCCTCGACCCTCAATGCGCAAGAGGACGATCACAATCGTTTCTTTTGGACTTACACAGAGGAGCCGCACCGTACAAGACGAATGGCTATTATAAAGGCGCACCCTGAGGTACATCCCCGTCTTCAATGGCTACCAAACAACCCTGCTGACGCTTGTGATATGTGTAGGTCACCAAGCTATGTGGCCCCGAGCCTCTGACCAAATATGTCGTCCTATTCGTGGTGTCTTTGCAGGTCCTTTGCGCATACCTCCTTCGTGATAAACCTTTTATCTCATGGCCGACATTCCTCACCGCATACATCATTGGAGCGACTGCGAACCAAAACCTATTCCTTGCGATACATGAAATATCACACAACTTGGCGTTCAAAAGCGCTCAAGCGAATAGACTGTTTGCCATCTTTGCGAATCTACCCATCGGTATTCCATACAGCGCTTCTTTCAGAGTAGGCTAAGAGCTTTGATTGTGCAAATGACCTTGCGGCTAACAACGCTACAGCCATACCATTTGACCCACCATAAGTCCCTTGGTGTGGATGGCTTAGAAAAAGCCCAGAAATAGATCTTATCGTCATTATCTTATGATTTGCACTCTCCTGTGGCACTTCCTCCTTCACAGGCCTTGCCAGTGCATTCGAATCCTTGTGCATTGCCAACATTGCCGCAGAGATAATCTCGTGCAATCGTTCCATTCGCAAGAGCCAAACCGACATTCTGGATCTGCACAGAGCACGGTGCGACAGCACTGCACTGCAAGCTTGCAACTCTGGATGATTTGGTACTTCCTTTGAGGCCGTCAACGCTTATTCCGGCAACTTCGAACTGAGAGTTGGTGCAGTTTCCCTGCCCAGGGGCTCCTTTGAACCGTGTGCATTGTGAAATGGCGATAGCTGCACCCCGGAGACCGGTAGCTGTTAAGTTTTTGAACTTGATATCTTTGGTGACTGGGAAATCGTTAGCGTAAGCTCTAGGCTGGGACTGAAGTACAATGCTGACATCCAAGACCTCCACCTCCGCCATTAGGCGGGTATCCATTCTGATCATCTGTCCATGTCTTGACATATGCCGCATGAAGAGTGTTGTCGAATTGTATATTTTCGACATTGAGTCCTTCGATTGTCTCAAATTGCTGATTATATTGACCAATACTGCCGAGAGCGATGCCAAGGCCATTATGGAAGACAGAGTTTGTAATTGCAATATTTGTACTGTTGGCTTTGAGCGAAATGCTATCATCTCCATTGTAAACCTCCCAATTGTCGAATTTGATATGGGAAGAGCGTATCGTATCCGCTCCATCGGTATTTGCTTAAATGCGTTAATACATCGACAATGCAAAAGTTGAATTAAGTAGAACCTAACGTCCGTCCCTGCGTAACGAAAAACCCTCCGTGCCGAAAAGGATTCTACAAATAGTCAGGCTGCATCCTCCAACTTAGTGGAATTAGGGTATTTTGAGTTTCAAGGTGTCAATCAAGTACGTCTGCTTCTACAGCCATTAGAAACATAGAAAATTACATTAATTATCACTATGCTGTCAATCTTTTCGTCATCTACCTGTACGACTTCACCTATTCTAAAGCCATATAACAATATACGCCTCTATTAATCATGTTCATCGGTGCAGCTAAAATAGTCTCCAACTATCTATAAAAGCCTTCTGGGCAATTAAAAGATAACCTATAATTCAGGACAGTAGTCCGGAATTATCCGGCAGGAGAGGCACTGAACAGCTCTTGGCAGGCGACTTGACACTCGACATACAAGGCTTAGCGTATGCTGTCTAAGTAATGTAAATTACACAAGCCTTAATCCCGGATTAAACGATAATCCGAAAACTGACGCAATCCGCACAGCCACAAATCCTACGGTAAAGATACGCAGATGTAACTTAGGACATACATATCATCGCACATTAGCTCGGACCGGCGGTTCGCTTCCGCCGGAACCCATCGACAGGGAGCTTGATTAATGCAGGACTGATCTGTTGATTGGTACTTCCTGCAGCCGAACCTGGCTGGTGCGTGATGACTTGCAGATCCAGCCTTACGCTTGCCGTGTAACATACCTATGATGACTGCTCGGTCTGTGGCTGTGGCTACGCGACGCCGCTGCCAAGTACTCTGGAAAATCAGAGCTCCTGGATTGGGAGCAGGGCTGAGGTTAACGGCTGCTACCTGCTTAGCTTTTGACATAGCCCTTTATCAACTATATTAATCATCTACAGGTAACGGGGAGCAACAGTGCAGGTACGCAGAATACGTGAAGGTCTTGATGTGTT